CTGCATCTGCATTCAATTCTACTTCACGTTGTAGTTGTACAGAACCTATATTTAACTTAGCAGTAGTAGGCATTCCCCTCATTTCATCATGATCAACCAAAGACAAATGTGAAGTATCATGATCATTATCACAAATATTCAATTTACCATCATCTATCTGGTCGATTTCATCATTTTCAAACTCTTTAATAACGGTAGTAGATGATTTGGGTTCTTCCTCACAAATACTTAAAGGTTTTATACCTACACTGTGACTAGTAATACCCTGAAAACTTGTGGAGTCAGAACTGGACTCTGAAACTGTAACTCTCTTCTCCTGCACAAACTGTGGTGTCGTCTGTGACACTCCGTGCAATAATGGCTTACCAGTTGCAACTACATGCTTCTTCACCGCACCATTACCGTCACACAATTCGTAGTCAGAACTTGATGACGCTGATTTCGCATTTAGTTTACTACTAAACTTGCTCACTGCTTCACAGTTCGCCCTTTTATGCACTTCTTGCAAACGTGTAAAACACCACCGTGTTTGCCCCGCAACTTGTAACCTATCTTTTAGGGATGTCCCACGAAAGCTGTTACGCTTACTAAATTTATATGGATTACTAGACACAATAGAGCCTTCTCGATATCCACTTCTCTGAGACCCTTTCGTCATAAATGATTGCGTTTCGCCCTCTGACTTCTCTATTCTGGGAGTGGGATGCAATATACTGGCAAACTTGCTCATTGCTTGATTGACACTATCTTTTACCAGTCTCAGGATATCATCAAACTTTGGTTCAATGCCTTCATCCTGTATGTGAGAGCTAATCTTCACCCACTTCCTTTGCAGTTGAGTAGGTAGGCGTCTCGCTATTACCTCTAGGACGGAACTTGATTTCAGATCGCCCATGCAATTCATCGAAATCAACGTATTCTTGTAAGTCATCAGGTTATCCAAAAGCTCAGAGAGTGCCTTGTAGTCATCTCGTAATTGACTACCATTACCTTTAACAGACTCGAATACGTTCCTTATAATCATCGAAGGACTTCCGAATCTTTGACTCAGTGTACTCATAGCCCCAGAGTATCCTTCGTTAGGGGGCATGAACTTACATCACTGTATAGCTCTTGAAGCAACGCCAGTGCAGTACCTCATCAAATACATCAACTTCATTTCATCATTTAATAAAAAACTACTCAACATGATTTCAAACTCCTTTACAAACTGTAAATAGTCAGCTGGGTTTCCGTCAAAACACCGAGGTTCAAATTTAGGCCTATTATCCCTAGACTGCGAAACATTAACATCAACCTCATCATGCCTAACATCAAACACATGGTTACATGTAACAGACAGATCAACATGACTCACTTTCCTGCTTGCTTCCGAGACGCTTTGTCCCTTTTTTGACCCAGGCATCGTTGAACTTGCCCAAAATTCCAGAAAAGTTCCAGAAAATACTTGTCCAAATAAGACTTGCAGGCACCAGGAACGACGAACGGAAACTATTCAAAACTATCAGAAACTGTCAGTCAAGTCTCATAAACTGCCAATGTCCAGCTATTACTACGCTGGACATCACGCTGTCCCTCGAAAACTTTCAGAAAAGCTTAGTATTAACCGACGCGAAAACCAAAACACTGTTTGGCGACTGAAGAATCCCTCATCCTTACGCCGACATGTAACCAACAATATGGTCATTACACAAGGTCTGAGAATGAATGTTATAACAATAAATCATGATAATACTTCTGATAATTGTTTTATCTTCCCTGAACAGCGAACGATCAGACGATGACATCCGCAATAATCCATGAATCGATCGTTAAATCTTCAACTACGTTTACAGTGTTACTAATATTTATAAACCATCGTGGTGCACTGAAGACAATTTTCAGCGATAGAGGAAACAACTTTGTTAACCGTCTCTCACTGAATTTAAGGGATATTTCGAGGATGGTTAAACGAGAGTTGATAAGGAGTAATTGAAGAGGGATACTGAGTACTGCTGCAATCCATCACAGGCCAGTCCCAATTGTGGGCTATGAGACAGACTGATAGGAATTATCAAACCTGTTTTAAGTTCATTTAATAAAAACCAAAGACCAACTGATGGAAACCTAAATACGGTTTTGTGTGAAACTGAACGAATTTTCAACAAACGGCCGCTGTCACCTTAAAAGGATGATGCTAAGCATATCGACATACTAACTTCAGATAAGCTATTATCGATGCAAGGTAGCCAAGATGTAGAAGACTTCAGGACGGAATCAAGACTTATTATTACCAGGTGGAGAGAATTCAAATAAATGAAGCATTTTGTTTTGTGAAGGTTAGCTTAAAATATATATACTAACGCTGCAAGCAAGAGAGAAATGGAAGAAGTCGTGTTGGAACTCGCAAGATGGTGTAATGCTTCTGGTAGCAGATAAGGCTATTAAGTATACATGACCGTTAGGAGTGGTAGAAAAGGTTTTAGAGGTTGACGGTATAGACGTTCGCTAACAGTACTGAGTACATTAAAGCATGATCTTATATCAACAACTTCTAACTTATTAGATTCTCGTGTACCAAAGGCAAAGCAAAAGACCACAATCGATTGTCCAAATTACGATATATATTTCGGATTGAAGCGGAAGCTTAGCCAGCTAGTTATCGTGTACGACAGTGACACCTCGGAGTACCCAATGGCGGGGATGCTTGACGAGAAAACTTCAGCTAAACAAGTCGACTTAAACTCTAAGGGTCAGCATCCAATGTTCACTGATCATTCCTATGGTCACGACGTAATTCTTCTCTTAGACATAATCTATTCCTGTAATAATTTTGGGGGAACTATTTATCGCTACAAGGTACTCTGTAGTAATGATGGGTTGGTGAGGACTGTTGCAGTGAGAATAAAGTGTGGCCCGTTAGCACGAGATATTAGAAGAGTGTGCATACTGGAAGGAGTTTTGAGGGGAAGGATGGTTTCGCCTGCTCAGAATCGTCAACTGAGAGGAGTTACAGACGTACTGCTCTAAGTCCTGCAATTCCTCAAACGTAGTAAACCAAGGCATCGCCCAAGAAGTTAGGTGCAACGTCGTTGTACATATATGTAAGCCGTTATATCAGTTGAAGTCGTTATCCAGATTCGCCTTGTCTACTTGTTGTTTTTGTAGTTTTTTGTACAACATAAGTCCTATGAAAATTTCATCGTGCTTACTTCTGAAGTTGTTTGGAGTCTTCTGGAATTTCTGAAGAGATTTGGTGATATTAAAGTTTTCGGATGAGATTCGAAAAACCGAGGAGGCTTGAACTGAAGATAGGGTGACACAGACGGAGCAAAGCCCACGTGGACAAGGATTAGTTGTAGTACTGACTATTGGTAGCGAAAAAGTGATTCTATTTTGACCTGTGCGTCGGTGGCACAGTGGTTAGGACTCTCGCCGACCATGCACATGGTCCAGGGTTCGAGCCCGCACCGACGCACATCTGATATCTATGGTTGGCCTGCAAAATTTGGGCTACCGATATCCATGCTGACAATTCCATACTTGTACCAAAAATACAGTGTGGAATCAAGCTGTAAATCAAAAATAAAAAAAATAAGTACCATACGCCAGGGAGGTGGAAAGTTAACGCCTGAAGTTCGCCTTCGTCGCCGTTACCAGCTGAGGCAAAATCAGTGACAAATGTGAACAGTAACAACTGGTACTGAGCAGGCGAAATGTTGTACAAAATCTGTCATACGGTACTGTTGTGTTCATGGTGGTTTCTGCCAGGGTTTCTCGGTAGATGGCGTTGTGTATTGTCTTTATTGTTTGCTTCCCGTTTTGACCCTGTACTTATTGGCCCAGATCTTCTCATCGGTGGTCAAGGCAACTTGTGCCGAACGTAACTGAGAGGACGGATGAGCCCTTTTTGCCATAGAGTATCAGTACCGGTGAACAGCATATGCTTTGTTCATTAAAAATGGTATCCATTTGGTAGGAAACAACAATGTTAGCTGTTGCTGGTTGCTAGAAGACTGCAAAAAAAGGATGAGAAGTATTGTGCTTCATATTAACCTTTATTCATAGACTTTCTGCTTTGTAACCCTGTTGTTCTGGTCCACCGTGGATGAAGACAAAAACAATCCTTGTATTGTCAATCCATTTCCTGATGTTCTGGCATCGGTTCCCATACATAGTATTCTAAGGCATCGATTAGTCTTCTTAAATCAGCGTTAAGTTTAGCATCTTTTGCAATCTGGATATTTGGAAGCATCCCCATGTTGAAAATATTAATGCTTCTGAATTGAGTTGTTCGCTATGCATTAAATTTTGCAGGTTCATATAATTTACTTAAATGCGTAACAGTAAACTATTTGCTTTGCCATATTACCTCTGGCTGAATCGTTCAAAATAGAAGGAAACAAGTACATTGCATTCCATTATCTCATTCCAAACACTGCTCTAGAATCTAATAACACTGATACATGAATGTTAATGCCTGTCTGAAATTTTAACTAAAGGTAGTTGAATCTCGATGTATAATCAAAGAGAATCATTTGGCTCAGACGCCTTTTAGAGAGACGCAGTGTGAGAGTTAGTTGGTTAGTCAGACGAATCATAGATGAACTGTTCATCTCCCCGTGTTCATTCATTTCGTTTTGAGATCTGACAGTTTTTTTGACTTATCACCTTGATTACTGCTGATCATACTAATGTACTACTATTATTATTACATACATGTTATTAAGCGGATAAAATTGACAGAAGTACAACTAATGTCTTGTATTTAATTCATTTATCTATAAAAATATGATATAACAGAAATAATGACGATGGATTCAGTTTTAAGAGTTTGTCTTACTAAATCAAATTTCAAAAGACGATAAGAGAAGCTGGAATTCAAAGAAATTTCACATTAACAAAGAAATAGATCAGCTACATGCTAGAAAGACACTTCTAATGTTTAACAAAAATGTTTTTGATATGAAAAAACACAAAATCAAACTAATAGAACTATCAACACTCTGTCACTTTGAAATTTAGTTGTTTTCTCGTTTGAAAAGTTGAATTTTCGGGCATGTGGCATTCCAGTTAGCTGTCAGAAGTTGATTCGCATAAATTCCATCAATACAGACTGAAAATGATTGAAAAGAAGAGTCATGTGAGATGATCGTCAGGGAAGATGAGATAGAAATCCCAATAAATAAAACTGTCAGACTTAGTAGTACTCGAATAAATTCTTACAGGTGATTGGTTCACTGACAGTGTGACTTGAATTGCAAAAATCACCTGCCTGCCTACACGAGTAAATTATGTACACTTATGTGAATTTGTCGTGGAATCAATTGATTGCAAAGATCTTCTATTATTACTATTAGTCTTTCGCATACAAAACATCTAGAAAATAGCTGTGTAATTTGAAACTTCACCTTCACTGAGATGATATTTATGATCATTCTTGTCGAAAGAAAGAATCGCATAGTCAGATATTTCTTCCCGAAATATTTCAAATGCAGATGAACTAACTTTCTGCACGTGTGTCGTGGATTTTTCAATATTTTAATGAATTCTTTGGAGAGTACGTCGCTTATTGATGAATTACAAGGATTTTGAAGGACTGTTTACTTCCAAAGATGTTATTTTAGCTGAACGTGAGTTTCAGCAGTGTAAACGTCATGCTTTTCACTAATCACTCTTTGCAAACTGAATGAACTTCAAGTCATTAATGAAAGCCAGTATACATTATCACACAGTTGACATTTGTATCATTACAATGACTCAGATTGTTGAATTGTTTCACAGGCTTTATTATTCAGTGTAGATTATTTGAATACTTTCAAGTCCAATAACAGGTGCTTTTTCTTTGAGAAACAGAAGTATGATTCTGTAATTTGGTTTTCAACAACCATAGAATAAAGAAGCTAAACATTTCGAATGAACGAATATACCAAGACAACAAATCTGTGGGAAGTGAGCAAGGTCGAACAACACGACATCTCTTGGACTATGAATGACACACTACGTTTACTGATTATGTATGCTTATGATATTATGTCGCTTACCTTTCCACTGCCCCAACACACTGAGTCTGCATGATGACTCAATAACTGAACTGTCATAAGATCCTGTCAGTGAAATCCAAGGTGTGACACTCGCAGTGATTATTTGTGTTGAAGCATTCACAGTTCTTTGATACTCGAATGAATTGACTGCGATCCATTTCAATCCAAAGTTCAGACTCTTTAACGCTCCTCCACCGTTGGCTCCCAAACCGAGCAGGGCACCTGACGAGTTATCGTATGCTAAGATTTGCGCGACACTTGGTCCCAATCTAGTAATTTATTGAAATATCGGTAGATAATATCTTAAACATTTAGCTATAACTTTTCAAGGTAAATGCGTGAGGAACACCTTACATGAGTGAGTATGTCATTGCAGTAGAGACCTACAGAACGAAAGATCTTAAATATGAAGATCTACTCTGGTAATTACTAGTAAAACCAACCATTAGAAAGAGGGGAATCTGAGCAAGCTAATACAAATGGCTTTGCATCTATGTGGTGATTGACTATTTCTATCTCTGTATTGTTAAAATACTTACTGTTGAATGTTAATATATTTCTTATATGAATTGCATTATAATTCCGCTAAATACAAATTCCTGAATTCCGCCCTCTCTGTGTTTTGGTTGGATTCGTGTAATTCGGTCATCTCGAAATACTAATACTACGATTACAAATAATTACAACATATGTGCTGTCGATTGTTTCGAATCTCGAACTCTGTTGTATGAATGACTGGTTAGTAAATACTCGCATACTGTTATCGACATAACCTGAACAAAAGCTTGGATAAAACTTCATTGACATCTACTCATTTGAAAGGCAGCACCACTAAATAATAATAATGCCTTGATTTCAGTATTAATTTACTGATTGATGATTACAAAGTTTAAATGTAGGATGTCAAGAGTCAATGAACAAAACTGTATCACGTATGTGAATTGGTCTCATATGTATAGTGTCGAATTGTTTTTACTGTGTCAATCTTCACGCAAACGCCAATATTTGCTTATACTTTGTTCCTCAGTCGTGTACAGTCCGACAGTGGAAGTATTTTGCCCAAGATATGTGCCTGAATATCAATACTGAGAATGGATGAAACTACTTGAATGATCTTTACCCACCATGCCAATGTAATTTTGTCGCTTAGCAAACGTTTGCACCTTCGTATGGGTATTCGAAACAGAGAGATAGAGAGGGGAGGAAAGTGAAAGGCAAAGGAATCGGTAAGGAAATGTAGCACAGAAGTACGAAATTATTGTAGCAAGATACTGTATGTTAGAAATCCAGTTATCTTTCAACACATACGTGCACGTATTCTGGAATTTATTCAAAACTCACGATTTAATTAAACGAAGATGATATGAATGAATCATACGTATGTGCCTCACTAACTGGAAATCGCTGAATTACATTTCCTTTTCTGTGTGTGATAAAAATGTGTGGAAACAGTTGCTTCGAACACAGCCTTATCCATATATCCTATTTTATCTGATGACAAAGTGAACCAGATCAGATCCCAACGAAAATAAATAACAACAAGCATGGATTATTTTTTAAGTATTGGTTTGTAGGGATTTGACTGACTGATTACAGGGCTTAATCATGTCCTGAAGACTCAGAAAACTAGGGTAAAACAGCTGTCCAGTACTCCCAGGTTTTCCAATGTTTCCTTAACCTATGCCAGCTCATGATGAAATCCTGTAACCAAACATAGATTGAATTTACCAGCAATGAACAGAGAATCTGAAGAATACCAAAATCACTCACCTGACCATATTCTTTGAGGCAGTGGACTGATCATGAAGCAACGTCTTTGCTCTTCGAATGATAACTTCCAATTAAGCACACGGCCACAATAAAAAAGGCGATCACCAACATTCAGAAATGTGGTCAGTCGAGTACCCAACAATGGAACTTTGGGATTCTTCATTGCAACATAATGCGGTAAGTCGCATGGATCTGTAGATAAGAAATCACGTATATTTTCATGAGTCTAATGATGAACAGTCATATGCAGTATTGACCTATCCACCTTACACAAATACTGAATAGGAAGATGTATGTATGTATGTATGGAATCAGTGTACTGCAGATAATGTCTGCAGTGAATCCACTTATTATAAAAATGAAGTTGTGCAACTGGCGAATGTACACAACTTCGACATTTTCGGTACAAATGAAGAAATTCATGTAAAACATTGTTTATATTCTGCATGGAATTAAGTTTTCCAGTATGCATTATTGACCATGAATGACAGAAATACTTGAAAGTCAACTGTCTGATGAAACCCTATTTTTTTCATAAAACACCTTTTGGTATTTTTGTTGATTTGGACTTAAGTCAAGTCGAGACATTCAAATCCTTCAATGTGTCATCATATTGCTTACAAAGAGTTCTCTAAACAAACCGATTTTCGAAACGGATTAATTTACACTAAGTAGAGTATATTTACATCCTCAGCACTCTGCCGTCTACTAGAGACGACGAAATTTCTCTCAGTTGACACAGTGAGGTCACTGTGCGTTGTGCACTTTTGTTTTGTTCTACTTGTACTTCACCGAATAAAATTTATTTAGGTTCAATAGATAAATATATCCAGGAATAACTCACAAGTATCGACTTCAACTCTTATTGGAGACATGAATCTGAAGAATTTTGACTTCCTGCATTTATTTGTAAGAGCGATGCTACGCTCGTAGGGTTTGCATACAACTTCAACCAGCACAGGAAGTTTAACGACAGGAGGACGAAGAGATTCTGGATATTTCACTTGAAATACAATTGAATATCTCTGACCGAAATATAAAGGACCAACCTTCGGAAAAAAGAGGATAAAACTCTTCTGATTAGAATACATTTAGCAGGTGGATGGATGACTGAGTGAATGGTAGTGAATAGAGAAAGATTTTGAATAATTTACCCTCGAAATCAGGTGATATAAAACAAAATGTGAAATTTAGTAAATTGTTCATGTCATGGATAAATTTTCGAAAGGATTCATCATTTAGGTGTTCCATGGTTTCTTCCTACCAACAGGGAATAATTGAATATCAGCTTTTAGAGCGATCAGATCCCCATTATCAAGGTGGTGAGGAAACAATTTTCGTGAAATCAATACAATATTATCTATAAATTCAAATTATTGTTATAATCAAAGTGCATGAACAGTTGGGATTTCAAAGATGACAAATCCGATTCTTAAGACAAGTTAAATATATAATCTCAAAATTATTTTATCAGTCCTCAAATTAATTCATTCACTTGTTAACTGCCTTGGTGAATCTACAGAATCACACCTTTCGTTGGTGATCTGATGATTCGAATTATTCTGTACAAATTAGCACAAACACGTTGTTTGGTTTTATTTGATTTTCTGTTTCCCGTTGGCAATCAACGAATGATACACGCGAAAAGAGAGTTTCACCACCTTATTCAGATATCTGGTATATTCTGTTGCCAGTTGTTCAAACTAAATAAAGTTAATAAGGGCCAAGTGTACTCAGTTTGAAAGCTTTGAACTGTAGAATTAGAAAGTACATTTCTTCTGAGTAAAATTAGTTCTATAATATAGAAGCCGATTTCCTTGAGAGTCATTGTGGAAAACACAGTCTGAGTACAATGTGGAGTCTACAGTTTTTATCTTCTGATGATATTTTGTCAGAGGAATAAACCATTGTTCAATAATTCTGCTGCCAAGTCACGTCTTGTTGTGTCCACTGTAAATACAGGATTTGAAATACCTTCTCACTGTTACTTTAACACACAACAGTATGCGGTCATCCATATACGTTGGAAAACTATTCCCATACTGAGAAAGACACAAAAGACCGGCTGAAAAGGCATAGATTTATTTCTCCATTGAAAAAGCAGTTTTACTAGAAATAAGTTTAAGGTGTGTGCTCTTGCTGGACAGCATTCACTAAAAAAAATCCAACAACATGACGTTTGGTTCACGTTAATGTCAAAGGTACAGTTTGCGAATCATATGGCAAACTAATTATATAATTTAATAATTCCCATTGTAGCATTAAGAACACAATATTCAGCGAAGAGACTCTTTTCAACGAATTTATTATCAAGCTGTACAATAGTATATACATGGTTTTTAAGAAATTATATCCAGTGAGGGAATTAGGTCAAAGGTGTGAATGCATAAAATAATTATAGTATGAAATACAATTAAAATATTCGTGATTATAATCATATTTTAATGTCAAGTGGCAGAATAGTTAATGTCATATATATATATATATATATATATATATATATATATATATATATATATATATATATATATATATATATATATATGAGCAAGGTACATTGGCCGTAGTCAGAGAACGCTTCCCGCACGGACACGAGAACATATTCCAGCTTGGTTTTACAAGGGAGAAAGGAAGTGCGTGCGAAGCTCTATTCTGGAACACCTGGTCGACTCCTGTCACTCCGTCAACCCTGACCAAGATTTTAAGATCATATATCGAATCCATGCTAACTTCCCGCGTTTTCTTCGCTACAGACGTCTAAAGACAGCTGAGGCCTTGGCAATTCATGACTTTAAGTCAAACCCTTGTGTGCAAAACAAGTATGTACAATCCGTACTTCTGCCTTGGCCGTAGAGGGATAGACATTTATTTATTTTATTTATTTATTTATTCTATGTACTTTTCCCTTATTACTTCGATTATTATTAGTATTAGTATTATTATTAGTATTATTATTATTGCTATCCTCACTCTGAATCTTTTCCACTTGACTCACTTGACATTTTAAACCCAAAATTATGAACTTGTATACTTTTTATTTTTACAATATTGAATTCTATCTTATCAAATTTCACACCATGTTATGCAACATTTTATATTCGTCTACTAATCTTATAATTATTTACCTCTTTCCAAAATCTCTACACCTTATTTATTATTATATATATGACATTAATTATTTTGCCACTCGACATTAAAATATGATTATAAGCACAAATATTGCATTTCATGCTACTATTATTTTTTCATGTATTCACACCTTTGACCTTAACTCCCTCACCGGACATAATTTCTTTATAAAACCATGTATATACGATTGTACAGCTTGATAATAAATTCGTTGAAAAGAGGCTCTTCGCTGAACTAATTATGTGTTTACTCTCATCCTAACACATTTGCAATAGCCTGTCGGTGGGGATTAATTTAATCTTAGAGGCATAAGTCTTCAGTGTAAATAAACTTAAAAACATGCTTCCTGGCTGAAATCACTCGGAAAAGTAATATAAAGCCAGACTGAATCAGAAATATTGACAGACACCGGCTACCAAATACCAACGGCAACATCATATGATAGTGACAACATGTTCACGAATTAGTAGAAGCTAGACATCATGGATTGATGCAGTTCACAAATGAGGGCTGCTGAACTGTTCAAAACTGGGACGAAGCAGTCGTCCCATGAGATGCTTAAACTTCTTTGATTTTCTTATATGATGTTGGATGGCATTGAAATTTGTTTTGAGACTTACTACATTTCCACAATTGCAGTAAACTGATTTCAAAATGATATTCATATAATACACATTTGTAAATATTACAGTGGCACTGGTTGAATGTCATTCAACATGGCAAACTATTAATGGAGTTCATTTTATAAGGCTAAAGCATATGACGTTTGACGGGAATTTTCATTCATGCTGATAATTTTTGCAACAGTTCTACTGAAGACACTGTTGGAACACTCCGTATATATCTGTTAGTAAACATTTGATGTGTTAAAGTGAACTTACTGAAAATTTAACCGATCTCGTTGCAGGATCTAGAGGGATTGTAGTTAATATTTCACTATTATTCCCTGTTTGATTGAACACATTGATTGACTCCACTGGTGAACCAAAGTAGAAAAATATCGACTGTGTTTCGCATTCTAATCCAGTCTCGTTGTTCATTTGAACTAAAGTTTGAATGTAGACTAGATATCTATGTAGAATTTAAAAGAAAATCAGTTACAGCATGAATGACGCTGGACAGAAGTGGAAAATTTAGGTTAGTGGTAGTGGCGAATGTAATAATATGCTGACTAACTTAACAAACATCACACAGTCTAGAGAATTAACAAGAAAATTTTAACGAAAGCATTCAAAATTTCCACATGTGTTTCTTACTTATCTTAGTTATGAAATAATAGCAGGAAGACAGCTTAGCATTTACATGATACTTGTGTTTTACTAACAGACGTCATGATGTGAGCTTACAGCGAGTGGAAAATGAACTGTTCATTGAGCAACTGCGAATAAGCTTATACTCTAGTAAGCCTGAGAAATGTACAGAATGAGTGAATTGCTTTTTCTCAAACCTATTCGAAATCGTGTTTATCTCACAAAGATCTACTATGACTTTTACTGAAGAAATACACAGCCACATTATTAATTATTAATGGTGCAAACATATTCATTCAATGCTTAGTTCAGTCACGAAAATTTCTATAGATGGTGTTATGCTAACGAACTACACTACAATCTTGCAAAGTACAAATGAACCAGTTTTATTTTGTAATGATTAAAAACAACTTAATGAAAGTATGGTAGGTGTAATTTCGATGTCGTCAATGTTTTGCATCTTGATATTGATTCCGGTTGTGACAAAGATACTGAATATGTTCATTGGACCTGCATGGATTATACATCCACCTTTGATTACGTACCTAGGTCTCTTTCGTTGGACAAGCTTCCTGTGAGACAGGCCAAATGCTGGATTGAAAAATGATTGCATTCTAACTTTCTTGATAGGCATCAGTACACTCTATATAAAGGAAAGTCATCGAATGTTCAACTTTCTGTAACTGGTATCCCTCGAGGTGCTGTTTTTTTTACCCTTTTCTATTTCCTTTCTTCTTACATGACTTGCCACATTCTGTTAGTTATGACGATTATCTAACTATTTCCATGCCTGTTACTTTCTGAACAGACTGTTCCAAAATGAATAACTTTTAATCAGATATTAGTCGGTGGTCCTTGTCAAAACGTCTCAAGCTATATCCTGCTAAATGTCAAATGGTTAATCTCACGTTCAGAAATAAATGAGATTTACAGGAACTGGTTCATTCTCATGGTTCTTTTGCCAAGAGGGCACTGGAATTGAAAATAAGGTCGAATGCTAAAGATCTGGAGGTAAGTCTTTCTTCTGGTCATTCTTCATCTATCCACTTCCTGTTGATTACTAGAAAGATATTTCATCTAACCTTCTGTGCAAGAAGGTATCACTAAGCCATTTTATTATTTTATTCCTTTTCGTTTCCAATCGAACATACGGCTTCAAGCTTTCAGCTTTGAAGTCTCAGTAGAAGTGGCTTCTACTTTCACCTGTGATAGGGTTGCTAAACCTCACGCCCAACACCTTCCCTCTTTACTGGGCTTCGTATCACCTAAGTAAAGTCTAGAAGTGCATCAGCTGCTCAGCCTCTGTCAAACAATTACATTCTGTCTAACCACCTCGTGATTTCTCCTCCTTTGTCTTTCCTGGGCACTAAAAAGCTGTCGATAGGGTGAGTGGTGTGTCCCTAAGCCAACCCGTTAATAATGATGTGGACAGATATTTCAACTCATGCAAAAGTTGGTAAAAATCATCTAACCGAACTTTCAGTACCGTCTTTATTCACAACTCTCCCCTTGCATCTTTTCAGGAAGTAAACGAAACAATTATAAAACTTTGTGTTCACACAATTAAATATAAAGCTCAACCATACCCTATTCAGAATGTAGTTTGTGTGATGAGAAAAGTGTCAGGCATAGAACTACTGACTTAATGAGAAACAGTAAATAAACGCCTCTTTCTGTTCTTCTTCTTCTTCTTATAATTATTAATTTACGGTTGCCGCTATTTTTATTAGTTTTTAGTGTTAATTATATGCTGAATATTTTACTGACATTATTAACAATGCAAATGTTGTGTTAATGTAACGTGACGAGAAAATGAGATGCAATATTGTGCTACATGCTGAAAATTCCATATTTTACCCAATGTACTCTTTGCTATGTAGCCATGATTATGATTACTATTGATTATTGTACGGTACGGTCAATCTAAGCGGATAACTTTTGGAAGCAGAGTTAAAAGATTGTAACTGTCAAGTCGACTGTATGCAATCTGTTGAATTAGAGTTGAAAACATTAGATTTACAGTGTTGTCGATTCAAAGAGATATCTCTAAGGAGAAAGACTTTGGTGTATCAGCAGACTTCAGACAGTACCCTAGATCAGCAATAAGTTCCAGTCACTGAAGGCAAACATTTAAGAGCAGATTAGTCGATTAATGAATCAATACACCGACTGGTCACATTTATGTGATACTGGCATCACGGATGCCCAGCTGTCTTTATATCGAAAACAATTATAATGCATCATAAAACATTAGAACAAACCTGTCTACGCAATCCTGAAGTGTGTTCACTGAGAGTTGAGACAGTGCGAACTGAATTATCGGTTTCTCCAAACCTGTTCTCGTGCATGTCACGAAAGAGGTATTATATCTTGTAATAGTACTCGTACTTGTAAATGTACTTGTGAATTGCACGGGCCATGTAGTACCAATTTCTGCACGTTGGCTATCACTCAGCTGGATTTTCACCGTTATGGAGAGAGTATTTCGTACCAAAGGACCAAGAGCAGTAGCTGTGAAATAATGATGAAGATAATGATAACAACAATAAGTATTTAGTCGAAAAGCGTTCCACAGAAGACACTCAACCATTTGGTTGCAACGTGGTTATAAATTCCTTTTCCAGTGTGAATTGTATGTGAACCTATTTTCATACACACTGCCTATTTTACTGCTTATCGATCATAGAAACATGCTGAATCCCTTTGGTTGATTCACATGAAGGGAGTATTGTTAGTTGACTTAGCCGCCTCATATGGGCATGTTGAAAATAATGATGGAATACAATCACCAGTACATGGTAAACGGAAAATGAAAATCTTGCATTTTATCAGTGGTGTTCATCAAGCTAAATCCATCACAACAATAGGAAAACTGTTGTAATTATTTGTAATCGTAGTATTAGTATTTCGAGATGACTGAATTACACGAATCCAACCAAAACAGAGAGAGGGCGGAATTCAGGAATTTGTATTTAGCGGAATTATTATTGCAATTCATATAAGAAATATATTAACAATCAACAGTAAGTATTTAAACAATACAGAGATAGAAATTGTCAATCACCACAAAAACCCTTCAAATGAAACAGTTTACCATAGTCCAAATCATTGAAATCAATTTTAAAAACTTACCACTGTTGATAACTCTGTCAAAATATACTGTCAGTTGATCTAGCTGGCCAGTTTTGTAACTTGACAAATAATTGAATGAGTACGCACTTGTTGCACTTGCTAAATTGGAACCCAGAGCTATTTGGAATCCTTTCACGGTCAAGATAGCGTCAACATTAGATGTATTTGCAGTACAATTAATACTAACAGTGAATTTCGTGTAGTTAGTATTTAGTGGAATTGTATATATTATGGTGAAATTTCCTATTTGACCTGGTTGCAAGTTCATGTTAGGTGGAGTTAGTTCAATTATCATCTGAAGAGAAAAAGCATGTTCAATCATTTAAAAAAATTCAAGTACACAAGTTGAATAGTCTTCAAAACTTTAGAGTTTTGCGTAATTGAGTGAATGGATGTTACAGTATTCTGAGTAATATGTTCATCACTTCATGCCGATCGCTACCACCTGTTGTTAAGCAACATGCTCCTTCTTAAGGACTCCGTTTGAATTTTCCATTACAGTAGCTGGTAGTGTAGTCAAAGTCTGCTTTTCGCAAACTGGTTTATTGCAGGTTGAGTGTTTGGTAGTTTCGCTTTGAATCAAAGCAAAAAAATGACGAAAGTGTATCATTAACATTTGAGAAAACCAGTTAGAAGCTAAACTCGTTCTGAGGAAGCTCAGTAGTCACCAGCCGAGTCTCATATTCCTTATATAGCATGAGCAAAACGATACAGTAAGATTTAAAGTACTTTTCTGGTGGAAACAACCAAAGGAAACAAAATTAGGGCATTATTAAACGCAAATCAATCATGTACAAAACATCACTTGTTATTTAAAAGACTCTTTGTGATATGATAGAAATGGAATCTATGGAAATTACTGTTTGATTAACGGAAGAATGTGTATGGAAATCACGATTAGAAACATACTGTACACATTTAGAAATATCCTGTTGAAATATGGATATCCAGATGGTGCAGTCGAAAAGTGTTATAAATTACAGAAACAGTCTATAATCAGACTGTGATCACGACGGGTAGGTATATATCAGGCTGACATCCTAACTAGGTGAACTCGATGAACTAGTCAGGTGAAATTTTATATAAAGCCACAAAGTGTTCTTTCTATACCACAAGTCCTATCATTATTTTTATTATTATTATTATTATTGGTGAGTAGAGCATGTGCATCTGATGCATTCGTTCATCGTATTCCAATATTGATTCTTAAGTTAACCCACTTATCGAAGAGATTTACGGTTAGGATTCAATTGTAGACAAACATTAATCGATGTATGTCTTAGCTAGCTCAGCAACTGCCTAAAAACTTACATCTCCTCTTCAAATGATCTCCTCTGTATCAATCTTGGATGTCAGAGTCGTCTCTTCCCATTTGAGTACCTTTTATTTGATCTTCCTCAACGGAGTCCTTAACACATATTCATTAGATCTCCATAGTTGTCTGCATGCTTTATGGAGCATAAGATTTTAACTGTTTAGTTGCCAAAGTTCATTACTGCTTTACCGTTTGCTAGTGACTATCTAATAATCTTCAGTGTCTGATAAATACATCTACTAATGAAAGACTGCAACTTGTTGGAGATGCTTAAGTTGACAACTTTTTGATTCACTTCTGTATATCTTCGAATGTGCGCAGTATGAGACACCAATTGTTTGAAAATCCCAGATTTGGTACAGTCTATTTATGGGTCTAATTTATGTGTTTACCCACACTCCTTCACAGCCTGCTGCATGACTCAGTCCATCACAATCATGAATGTCATCTGTGACAGTGGGTAGTTTTGTCTTACGCCTATCTTCACCTCAAACGCTTCACTTAGTTTTCCTTTGTGAATTACGTTTCATGCAGAATCATCATGTAGCTGCTGAATGAGGCTCAAAAATTTTATTTGGTTGCTCTGCATAGTGTTGAAGGAGTTTCCGTGTTACTTTATGGTCAACTCTGTCAAAGGCTTATTCACAATGAATGAAGTTGAGTTAGAAATTTGACTGCAACTACTAGCTCTGTTCGACAGTGATGTCTAGTAATTTCATTCGTTCCGTGCACGATATTTTTTTTCCCGAGATCACCATGTTCCGCAGGTAGTTTTTAAGATGATATAGATCAATACTTTGCTAATGATGAACAAGAGCAAGCAAGATTTTCGCTTGTATAAAAATCAGTTAAAAAAGATACAGTCTTTTGTCAATACTCAGTTTGAGTAAAGCATAAGAAATTGATTGCTGAAACTGTTATGATACTTAGAGGAAAAGATTTAAAAAACGCACATAAACCAGTTAACAAGATTTTAGCAACATCAAAATTACAAGAGAAGAGGAATCCGAGGATGAAATTCCGTTTTTAGACATCTCTGTCAAGCCAACAAATAGTGAGAAATTTGAAATTCAAGGATACAGAAAAAATTACTTTTACAGACCAAATACCCAATTACAACTGTATCAATTCAACACCTCACGAAAAGCAGTTGTATACGAATAGTATTCAAGGGCCAGAATACATTACAGCATTTCCAATTTGAATAACGTGGGGGAAGTATCTCATGATAAAATTACATAGAAATGGATATATACAAAAATTTATCGAAAATGTTCACTCTTAACCCAAATAATCATCTAAAAATCACCCGATAGAAGCACGGGGAATGTCTTTCTTACACAAAGAAAGAAAACCTCTGGGATAACTGCAAGACCGCTGGAAACCATAGGGTGCTGGACAGTTAAATCTTCTTAGTTTGGGAGGAACATTGGCTACGATATATGCTGAGGCTAAATTTAAGAACATTGTATTTGTCAAAGTGGACATCTTTTATGTCTTCAGATCCTTCAACATAAACTCGTTATCATAAGACATGACATACATTCCCTCATATCAACACATCTAGACAACTACGGACACTAATTTGACTGGGAAAATGAACTCATCTCAAAATGAAGAAATATCAAAGATGTTAGGAAATTCCCAGAAATCTGGAACTCAGACGAATTGACAATCAATAGATACAATCATATAGATCAGATTTATCAGACGACAAAAAGGAAGTCATAAGAGAGAAAGCATTAACTATCAGGTCAAGAAAATAGTCGACCCCAAAGCAAATGAACAAGAGGATGAGAAGGACTTTTGAGACAGCCAATCACTTTTGAAGTCAAGTATTGGTTTGAAGGGATTTGAGTGATTGGTTACGGCGATTTATCGTGTGCTGACATCGGTTAGAAAACCTCTGGAAAACCTGAGAGTACTAGATGGCTGTTTCGTCCTAATTTGGGACTCTCCAGTAGTACGCACCCACCGCCAAGGTTCGAACCCAAGACCTTCTGTTTAAAATGCTAGTGAGCTCGTAGACCATTGAGCCACTGGGACCCAATCCAATAACCAGTGCATGAATCCCTACTTCTGCCAATTCACGATATAGTGCGACCACTAGCCAATGTCTTTGGCGAGTATTCGTCCTCACACCCGACCTGATGTGCCTTACTGGTCAAGACATCCCACTAGAACGCCAGGTAACTACCTACCTGAATAGGGTCAGTTGCTGGGGAGCATCTTATTGATATTCAAGTCCCCAAGAAAGAGAGAAGGTTAATAAACTCGTGCAGAATTGGAAATCTCACTTCGAATTGAAATGTATATTGAAAATATTATCTCGAAAGGCAATGGAAGCTTCCTAAATAAACCATACATGTAAGCTTGCTCAACTACACCGACAACAGCTACCTGAGCTACAAATGTCCTCCTCAACCTTTTATTATGAATGTATTACTCAATAATAACAAACACACAATGGAATTCTTTTATCTAACTTATGACTCACCTGGCTGAAGGCGGTAAAAACCGGGGTGAAACTGAATTTAATATCCCCAGCACTTATATTTTCTGGCCTGCCATTGATCTGAACCTGTACTGGAAATACAAAGTTATACGTGGTTGTTTGGTTGCAATCGCTCATTAATCTCACAGTCCAGGGGAAACACACCTAAGAAATGCAAAGTTTCGAGAGAATTTGTCAAGCAGAAAGAAATACAGTAATGCCAAGATTACATTTACAATGTGTAAATTTTTCATCAACATTAAGATGTTCTCTTCTAATGCAGTATTATTATTATTAATAATATACATTAATAGATCAACGAACTCATTTCAAGCTGCTATCAAAGCCAAAGCGTGCAACAAAACGTAGCAGTAGACAGAAGTACATAGTGTAAAGCATGTGCTAATTTTGAGTCAATACTCAGTAAGTTGAGGTTGAATTCTACATTTCTGAGATTTTTTTGTCGGATTAGATTTCTCATGAAGGATGAATAAGTTGTATGAGGCATTTTCCACGTTCTCTAAAGATGTTGAATCGAAATGTAATCTGAAATCATTTTTTGTATGGTGGTTCGAAACAAAGTTTTAGTCAATTTCTGCATAGTGTCTTATGAAGATGAAATATGTGACTCTTCCTATCCTAAGCTAATGCTAGTGTCAGCCAAAAAAGCCTACTCATCAGAAAACTGACATTTGCATTCCATGCGTATGGGAACAGGATTAATGAAGTTGTTAATAAGACGACTTTACAATGAACTTAGCACTGAAGGTGTATGTCAAGAAGGGATTTGAAAGCTTTGCCACATGTGAGAATCAAATCTTTCCCACTGATTTATTAGTTACTTTTCTCACGGCATATTTCGCATTTTACACGGTACTCTCAATCGCCATGAAGGGAGAAATTTGTGTGACATTACTCAGAATGTCATTGTGAATGGAGTAACATTATCTGTGTTTCCTGAAGTGTTAAACTGGTCAGTCTCTAATTCTCAAAGAAGAATCTTGCAATAGTCCTTACATAATTTCTAAACACTATTCTCAATGAATTCACTGAATCGAAGAGTGAAATAATACGCTGTATACCATTTCTCTGTTGACATTTACAGCATGTTTTATTACAGTCATACTTTTTATCCAGGAATTGATCATTTCACAGAAATATTTGTCAATACATAATTAGGAAGAATGTGTGTTCAATCGTTTTAAGCAACTTACTGTGGTATCCACTTCATCGGTTACACATATAGGACCGTAATCCGCCCTTATCACACTGTAAAAATAAGGAGAAATAAAGTCGTGATTTTAAAAAAAGTCTTAATTCAGCGAAGAGATTTACTATTCTCAGAATATCTTTCATTTAGTTAAATTTTATTTGTTAAACACAAAGGCGAATTATTTCTAGAAAACTCCGTGTTACAAAATGTTAGGGAAGCTAACATTAGGAAACCTGTTGATAATGCTAGTTCACTGGTGATTGATGATTTGTGTGAATGTTAACCAGGTCAAGTGCGAGGACAAATACTCGCCAAAGACATTGGTTAGGGGTCGCGCCATGTCGCGAATTGGCAGAAGTTAGAATTCATGGGCCATTGGATAGCATCCCAGTGGCTTAATGGTCTACGGGCTCCCTAGCCTTTTAGCCAGGATGTCCTGGGTTCGTGTAACAACAGAAGACAAGGGCCAGGCAACAGATCGTTTCATTACGGAAATCAACACGTATTTATATAAATTTCACATACTTTATTACAGCCTAGTGAAGTAGACATACGCAGTCTTCTGATTGGTTGTTTTCGAGTTCCTCGGAAAGTGGGGCCATCTATCTGCGAATCATATTTGCCCACGTTTAAGTTTGCTGTGATTGGTTGTTGGAACAGCCTTGTTCATATTTTCTCACGGCCCATATTAGTGAACTAGACATTGACGTAGATTAATGTCAGCCAATCGGCTAGCAGGCTGCTCTCACCACATTCGAACCCCGGTGTGTGCGTACTGCTGAAGAATTATAAACTGGGACGAAGCAGCTGTCCAGTACTACCAGGTTTTCCAATGGCTCTCTAACTAATGTCAGCTCATGATGAGATCCTGTAACCAATCAAATCCCTAAAAGCCAACACTTTAACACTGTTTATTGTATCGATGAATCTTCAATGAATCAGTGGGATGAAAACCAAGTCGGCTATTAATGCTTCAAGATATTTTGTGCTGTGAATAGAATTTAGTGAATATTTGTTTGGAAATTTGTAAGTATTTTTGCTTCCATTGACTTATAACGACAGAAGACAAGGGCAAGTCAACAGATCGTTTATTGAGAAAATCAAAAGATATATATATATATATATATATATGTACATCATTATTAGCGTTATTATTAACAGAGAAGCGAAGTCTTCTGATTGATTGTTTTCTTGCTGCAGATTATTCTGTCATCTCTTTGCGGCCGTTTCTTAGACAGTCCGGTCATATATCGCTGAATTGTTTCTGCCCATGTAAAGTCTACTGTGATTGGTTGGTGAGTTCCTCAAGGTTAAACTTTGTTTTTTTTCTCATGACCTCGATTCGGGAGGTAAAAACTGGTGTAAATTGTTATCTACAATTTTGGCTAGTAGACAGCTCTCATCACATCATTATTCTAACATTTGCATACCTCCTTCCCACTTAATCTCTATTCATTGTCTCCGTTTCTGGTTGATTTCTATTTCTAATTCTTCTCTTTACTGTTGCGTTGTTGTTTTGACACTGAGTAGTGAAGGAGAGACTATGCCATGGATTGACTAGTTGACTACGGACTGTTCGTGAGAAACATGTTTCATCCTACTTGTCTCTTGCAGGCAGAGTTTTGCTCTCATCTTGTTGGAAATATTTCTATTGACTATCTACTAATTTGAAATTGTGTTTGCCCAATTGTTCTTGTTGTATAATACGTGTTTTGCACTCGAGAAGGTTTTCGATTGCATAGCTGACAGACGGCATTTTTATGTTTCACATATGCTGTTACTGTTGAATAGTGTCCGAGATTCTATCACATTAAAATGTGAAATATAGTTGTAGTCTGTGTATCAGTCGTGAGAGTTTGTCAAGCTAAACAGAAGAAGGCATTGAATAGTTTCTTGTATCCAGACCAAATTACTTGGGTTATGGTCATCCTATATGCGTCTGTCTTGATTTCGTTAACGATTTTTATCATATTATAGTATTCTGCTGCATATTTCTTCAGCATATCAACGAGTTATTTTTCAATACAAATTTGGGACTCCAGCTGAGTGTCAACATACACACTAGAATCCATCTTTGAATCCCTTCAGGAACATGCACGCACACCATGTATATGTGAGACAAATGTAAATAATATTTCAATGAAACAGACTTCAATCAATTCAGTTAGTTATTTAATCAGTGGGACTGACTTCATTTCCCGATTATGAGTAAATGAATACATATAATGTATTTTTATCTGGCAAATTCGTTGTCCTCACGCCTACAGAAGATTTTTTTTAATGATTTTTCCTGGGACACCAGGCGATGGAAGATATTCACGGGGAACAGTCATCCTCAACATTCAGTCGAGTTGTCTATTGTATTTAAGTGACAAACCGAAGAAGTCAACAGTATCATTACATCAACAGTCATTACAAGTTCAAACTGTAAACACTAACTTGAGGGTCTGAGATGGTTGACACAAACACGAAATGGGTGTAGTTTTTGCTGGTCACAAGAAACACAGCTCATTGAGTAAGAGATTGTCTTTTTGATAACTGACTGCCTAGGTTGTTTATTCGAAGAATTGTTGTGTTCACTAACACCTAGCACTTGAATATTCTACTTTTGATGGAAGTGAAGAGCCGGAAAACTTTATTCAGACAAATGAAATGCGAATAACTGTATGAAAACTGCATGCTAACGCAACTCATTCCAAGACACGTAGGCATATATGACATAACCAAAACTAAATATTTCTAGGAGTTTTATTTTTAAGCAAATAGCTGTAAGTAATGGCAAAAGTTATAACAACGATAGTGGCGTAAAATGAATTCCGTTCAAACAGGTCACAAACTTCATGTGGAATCAGACCATGGGAAGGAGAACTGAACTCTGTATGTTCACATTAAAAAGCTTTACAAAACTGAAAACATCATTAAAATAACTTACTCGTCTAAGTAAGTCAATTTTATGCTGAAACTTGCCGGACGGTGCACACTGCTTTGTGATGCTGGATTAGAAATTTGTGACACATTCATTGACCCAACTCCTGGAGAAATTCGATTAATCCAAGTTGTGAAAAAAGCACAACGACTGCCAGGCAATACATGACATGCTGATAATGCGAAAGTCGTTCCACTGCACATGTGACCATAGAAACCGTTTGGGTTGGTGAGAGTTGGCGAATACTGGATACTAAGATTTGATGTAGATAACTGTGGAAAATAAAACATAGTTTCTTGTTCCAACAGCCAAAAAGCAACAAAATATTGCGATATTCATGTTTCACCAGGGTCATATCAAGTTATGCATCGGTTAACTCTAATAGCATAACATTCAGCTTAAGCTGGTCTACAAGGTTGACCGTAGCATTTTTGAAACACCAACTTTTTATCTCTCAGGAGTAGTACTGATGGATAAAGATGACTACATCGCAAGGATGAAAACTGTGCTGAATGATCCGTTGAGGTTCAAAGTCGACGACTGCCAGAAAGACAAGACAGATGCAACTGAAAAACGCATCACAAACTTATTGAGAGATCTTCTAAAGAAGACTTTGATTGACAACAACACGTACAATGAATTGAAACCCCGAGGGTCCCGCTTGCCGTATATGTATGGCCTTCCAAAGACACACAAGAAAGAAGTCCCTCTGAGACCTATACTTTCGATGATCAACTCTCCCCAACATAAGGTTGCCCGTTGGCTTGCGGAGAAGTTGGAACCCATTCGCCAAAGGCTAGCCGCGCATATCATAAAAGACTCATTTCATTTTGCCGAAAGCGTGAATCGCATGAACGTTTCAAATAAGTTCATGGCTTCATTTGATGCAACCTCCTTGTTCACAATGATCCCAATCAATGAAACCATTGAGATCATTTGTCAACAGTCTGATCTTCTCCCACTACCAGAGCCGGAATTCAAACGCCTACTGCTAATGTGTACCATGGGTGTACAATTCCAGTTTGACAACACTCTTTACCGACAAAGAGATGGTGTAGCTATGGGCAGTCCACTTAGCCCTGTTTTAGCAGATATCTTTATGTCAAACCTTGAGAAAACAAAGCTGAAGCATGCAATTGATCAAACAACTTCCTATTGTCGATGACACATTTGTAGTATGCAACAACGAAAGTCATGCCTCCTACCTACTCAGACTATTCAACAACGCGCATACAAATATTGTATTTACTATGGAACATGAAAATGATGGAAAATTCCATTTCCTTGACGTCGCCATGCAACGCCTAGAAGATGGTAGTCTCTAGAGGTCAATCTACCGAAAGCCCACATGGAATGGACAATACTTACATTTTAATAGTTTTTGTCCAAATAGCTATAAACGAGCACTAGTCAAGACTCTGTACTATAGAGCGAGGAGAATATGCTCTTTAGAGAAACTAGAGGAAGAATTTACGAATCTCGAAAAGGTGCTGAAAAACAACGGCTATCCTCAAAGATTCATTAACAAATATGGAAGATGTGAAGGCTCAAATACCAAACAAATCACAGTTGAAAAAAAGCCTGTCTTCATTCAACTAGACTTTAAAGGTGAAGACATTGCAGAAATGGTCAACAGAAGACTGAGAACGTCACTAGCCAGAGCCTATCCTGCAGCTAAGTTGGTTCCCGTCCATCGAACAACATGCTCTTTGGTGCAGTCAAAAGTCGATAGATACCCTTCTCATGTTAACTCCAACTGTGTATACAAATTTACGTGTATCTGCGGGAGCAGTTACATTGGGAGAACAGAAAGAAGGGGACACCTCCGATTTTCTGAACATGTGCCGAAAAGCCTACGTCTCAAGGGAACAAACCCTTATAGTAGCGCTATTACCAGACATCTCCTCGACACGGGTCATGAGGTGGAAATCGAAGAATCCTTCAAAATTATCAATAGACAAAGGAGCTCCATTCTCCTCAAGTTTGCCGAAGCAATTTCTATCAAACGCTTGAAACCAGATTTATGTGTTCAGAAAGAAGCAGTTATTAGTCTTTCCTTCTCTTGGTAACTGGATGTCTTTTTTCTCTCATCTGATTACGTAATCTCTGTCTTTAACCCCACCCTCCTTTTATAATCTGTAATTTTGCTTGTATCTTGTTTCTATGATTTGAGTTCAACTCAGTACATTGTTACCTAACTTATTAGTCACTATGCATCTAATGCACATCTCATCTTTATTATGTAACTCCCTTACCATTATATGCATACATTTATTTTGTTTTAACTTGAACTGCCTGTGTAAAAACTATATAAGCGCAATTTTCTGAGCACTGTTTACTAATTGTGGAACTTTCTGACAACATGTAAAATTTGCAAGTATGTTAAAACGTTTCTGTACATAAATCTCATAATTTACTTGGGCTGTAAGCAGCAGCAGCAGCAGATGAGAAGCCAACGAAATAAACAATGATGGTAGCATATTATTCTGCACAAACCACACTGTTGTTCTCGCTTTATTCAAATTCATCAAGGAGAATAAATGCATGAAGTTTATCTCTCTACACAAGTCATTTGAAATTTCAATGAAGATGTATAAGTAATCGTTACATAAGTAAACAGAGTTTAGTAGACTAAGACGAAAAATAAGCACTGTTGATTAAAATTACTACCATCTGTTCAAAACTCCACAAAATAATTAATGAACAGTGAAAGTAATGTCCACAGCTACGAAGTGACCGATTTCAGTTGTTGTTTCTTTTCCCATGAAAGTTTCACTGTACTCATTGTACAAGTTTCTAAATTCTACTATGAAAGTAGGGTTGTGGGCGGGTGTATTTCTGTTTTTTTTTGTTTGTTGGGTATATGATACACTAGGAAAGTATAATTTAATAAGTAAATATTCTGGAGAATTTTCTTGTCCATGGTTAATATAAAGGTAATCATATGACTTCATAGCATGAATTTGACACTAGTAGCCACCGTTTGATACTGGAGAAATAAAAGCGGATTAGTTCATAAGTCTATAGCTAGCTGGAGCTGATCTGAATTATTTATTGATGGCTGGATAAGTACAGACTCTGTTATGCGTCACTTGATCCACTAATTTGCGTTGGTCTTTAAAATACCCAATTTTTCAAATCATTTTGTGTACTTGAGTCATTGGTTGATATCTAGATTCCCTTCTTAACTACTCATCAGTCTTGTTTCAACTAGATACTCTTTTATTTTGAGTAATTTGACTTCAACTCACTCATTTCGTTTATCTGTATAAATGTCTTCAACAACTATATTTTCCAATACAACATTGCTTCGACTTTCCGTTAAAATACGCTGATGTGTATACGCAGAAAGCAACAATAACAACAGACTACTTCATCGTCACGCTAATAAACTCATTCTCCTATTTCCTTTTCATGTATTCTAATTAAAACCAAATGTATCTTGATAGTCTGTAACCCTTGACAACCGACTTGATAATTTTATTTCCAGATAACGATGGAAGTTTTACTGGATATTTAGGGAATTAAGGAAGACGAAATCCATTTCAGTACAATAGAGAACAGATGCAAATAAGCAATTGTGTCCAACTTACTTCAGGAGCATCAGTATAGAATGTGAAATAGCCAGAGAATTTTGTTGAGCCAACAGTCACTATATAAGTAATATTCAGTGGGCTTGGGCAGTTGTTTGTCACAAAAATAGGAAGAATTCGCTGTACTGTACTGGATGAGGATAAAGCCCAGTCTTCTCCCCAGCCTGAAAAAACCAGAAATGTGTAAAGAAACAAATTTCAAATAATATTCGAAAAAAAGATGTGTAAAACAATTTTATAACCGTACACCGTAGACACAACAATAGTTCGAATTACATTATATTAAAAACAGCATTATGACTAACCTACATATATTCCAACCTACTGGTTTCTGAAGTTCGGCAGTCGACTGAGATAATAACAAAAATCCATGAAATATCTGACCGTTAGTTTAATTCATGTCAAGATTGTTCAACCAGATAATTCAGAATTTTCTACTCCTATGTATCTACAAGAACTTCGCCTATTCAACTAGCTTCCTAGTTTACTAAGCAGTTCCTAGCCCAGGTGAAGAGGAAGGGTTGAGCGTGGAGATAGCAAACAGACACCACTAAAATAATCAAACTGATAGAAAAACTGCGACACAAAAGACAAAAAATATATTAAACAAACTTATTTCTCTCTGAAATAAGAGAGTCAAAATGACATGGAGGCACCGTTGAAAGCCTTCGAGAAGCCAGTCAGCCAGCCAGCCGAGGTGTCTGCCCTCTCTCTCACTCTCGATGAAAGCAAGAATTAGAATAGGGAAGTGTAATATATGTAGAGTGTAGGAAGCCGGCTGCGAAAGCTGCTCAGGGAGCCAAACGAAATGCAAACATATGGCATAAAAGTGTTGAGTATCTGCGAAAGCAGATGGAATGGATGTGGATTGTCCAAACTGTCAACTGCAGAGTCAGTAATCTACTCCAGTCTGGTCGCACAGACGACAACCACGAACACGCTGAGGCAGTGTGTGGTTATCACGATGTGACCAATGTCAGCCACAGTCCTAATGCAGTGGAAACCAATCACCCACTGCAGGATTACGTCAGGAAGATTCAACTCGAAAGGAAGGAAGAAAGAAAGGAAGGAAGCATGGAAGGTCACAATTACCCAATGCTACGCACACTGCTACAAACAACGCGGAACCAGTAGAGCAGAAGGCAGATTTTTACAGGCAACTGCAAACAGCAATGGACAACATCTCGAATATTTACATCAAAATCCGTGTGGGTGATATGAATACAAAACAAACTGTGAACAGAGAAAATAGGAAGAGAACTCATCATGAGTCGAGAGGCTCTGGATCGAAGAAATCAATGAGGACGATGAGTGATTCACGGACCTCCGCGTTTCCAGTGATTCGGTGATTGGAAGTAGCATGCATGAAGACAAGGATGTACACAAAGCGACATGGATTTCTCCTGACGGACACAAAACAAACCAGATAGATTTCATCTCAATTCTGCTGAAGAAAGTGACGACGAAGCTAGTCTGTTGGATACAAAATCGAGAAGTGTAGCAGATATCGGCTCAGACCATCATTTAGTTCGAGGAACCTTGAAGGTGAGTCTGAAATCCCTGAGAACAACTGGAGACAGGCCACTGTAATTCAAGTTCAACACTCAGAATCTGAAGGACAACGGATAGCTGGAAGCTAATAGAAGGGAGGAGAGGAGGATGGTGAAAGAGAAGATGACTCACTGCAGAGATGATCAACAGAAGGAGAATCCGAGTTCAGTGTACACTGCACTGAATAAAGAAGTAAAGAAGAGTAGTGGGAATGACAAAAGACAATTCTACAACACACGGGCCGGCACCTGAAGCAAAACAGGCAGACAGGCTGCAGGTAAAACACACCTCACGACATTATATCGGATAACCAGATCCTTCCGGATCCGAAAGCAGAGGCGAACAAAGCAAGTAATGGGTTGATCACCGGAAAGAACTCTTGAGTTGACCAGCACCTGCAACCCGTCCGGAAATGCCACCACCATCACAGAAAGCAAGAACGTAACTGTCTGTCAGTGAACACCAATACTCCGAAGAAAGTAGAAATCCGAAATGCGGTCAAGCCACTGAAGGCCAGTCGGGAAGGTAGTAGGGCTAGACGAAATTCACCTCGAAGCGTTGAAAATGGACCCAGAGACTGAGCCAGATGTTCTCTTGCCATTAATGCAAGAGGTTTGGAAAGAGAGAATGAAAGGTGTCTAGCGATTGGAAGAAACTTTAGCTACCTTGTCCGAATGTCAAGGAAGAGTGGTTTACGCCTCTTCAAGAACTGGTGTGGAATAATCCTCATGTCCACGCCAAGTAAAATATTAAGTCCTATCATCCTGTGGAGAATAAAAGTTGCACTGGATACAGAACTCTAGCAACCATCGGAACAAGCTGGATTCAGGAATAGTAAATCATGTGTTGATCGAATTGCAACTCTATGCATCGTCATCACAAAACAAAGCGTAGGATGGTAGTCAGATCTCTACCTCAACTTCATCCACTTTGTTAATGCCCTCGACAGACAGCGTTGATGGAGAAGTAATTTGGGGACTAATTAAACACTTCGGAGTAACTCAAGTCTTTATCAACCACGTTCAACAGCTGGTTGTGTGACAGTGCTACGTCTCAGGTTTCCACAACGGAAAACGCTGCATCCGAAGTGCATACAGGAGTAAGACAAAACAGACCTCATATTATCACCCATGATATTCTTAATTGTGGTGAACTGGATTATGCGTCAGACTCTGAGGAGCGAGAAGTCAGGAATACGCTGTATATCCGACAAGAAGACTCTAGAAGATCTAGATTTTGTAGATGGTATATGTTTAATATCACACAAATTCGAAGACTTTAAGGCAAAATGAACGAGAAACGAGTTGGTCATCCATGTGAGGGTGACATGGAAGAGATCGTGTGTGGAAGAGATGAGAGACTATATTAGATCATGAGGTGAGCTGAGGAAGACAACAGAAAATAGAACAAATCGGAGATGTGTTGTTGGACTCGTATGTTGCAGTTGGAACTCAAGGGATCAGTCATACAATAATGAAATCTATTCGAAGGAGTAGAGTTTCCAAGATTGTAAGTGAGTGAGTGCTGGATGCAAGGTTAGTAGTTTAACTGATTTTCTTTACACAGCTGTATAATCGTCTACACCTATTCCCTGCAATAAGTGACCACAGATCCACTTTGTATGTGTGTGTGTGTGTGTGTGTGCGTGAGTGAGTGAGTGAGAGAAAATATTTTTTTTAATACTAAGCGGCACCATAATGTTGATGACGACTTTACAATGTTTTCACAGTCCACTATTTTCACTCATTGACAAATTTTAACACAAACAAACACGCACATGCACACACAACAAACTTACTTGTTACATTCTATCTAGAGGGTACAGATAAGAGAATAAAGTCGTCGCTAAGAGAATATTCTCCACAGAAAGCTTTTCGTTTGTGTTTCTACAGAGATTATTAACTGGAAGTGGGTTTTCGTTGACTTGTATTTATGGATATATGTAAACATGCATAGAGTTTTGGAATGTGATTGTAGTCACTTCAATGTTTTGTCTTTACTAAAATTAATCAGACTAACTTCATTCCACAAAATATAATTTATTTTATAGTTCTTTCTAAGAATGATGAACCTCTCCTGGATTACTAGCTTACTAGTTTTCTAGCTTCGCCTAGCCTACTAGCTTGCTAGTTTTCTCGCCGGTCCCAAGCCCGGGTAAAGAGGGAGGGTTGGGGCGTGGTGCTAGCAACTCCACCCCTGTAAAACAACCAAATCGCTACAGAAACTTCAACGAATAAATATATTAAAAATTCTAAAAACATAAGCAATAGCCTTACTTTTCGCTGGAATCGGGGAAGTGAAATGACGCAGGCTGGTGAAAGCCTTCGGGAAGCCAGTCAGCCGATGTGCCTTCTTTCGATGAAAGCAAAAGTAAGGATGGGTACCTGGAATGTTCGTACAATGTACGAAACTGGAAAGGCTGCCCAGATAGCCGCTGAAATGAGAAGGTACAGAATAGAAGTGTTGGGAATCTGCGAGAGCAGATGGAACGGAACTGGAAGGTGCCAACTACCTACTGGAGAGACAGTAATCTATTCCGGCCACCAGAGGACAACCACGAGCACACCGAGGGAGTGGCCATCATGATGTCACCAACAGCAGCCAAAGCTCTCATGCAGTGGGAACCAATCTCCTCCAGGATAATGACAGCCAGGTTCAACTCAAAAGGAAGGAAAGTTACAGTCATTCAATGCTATGCGCCTACAAACGTCTCAGAACAAGAGAAGAAGGAGGCGTTCTACAGACAACTACAAGCAATAATGGACAACGTCCCAAATGGCGATATCAAAATCCTGATGGGCGACATGAATGCGAAGCTGGGAGGAGACAACACAGGAAGAGAACTCACCATGGGTCGTGAGGCCCTCGGTGAAATGAACGACAATGGTGAACTCTTCTCAGACTTCTGCGCCTTCAATGATTTGGTGATTGGTGGTAGTGTGTTCAAACACAAGGATATACACAAGACGACATGGATTTCACCAGATGGAAACACCAAGAACCAAATAGACTTCATCTCAATTTCAAGAAAGTGGAGACGGAGCCTACTGGACACAAGGTCAAGGAGAGGAGCAGATGTGGGTTCAGACCACTATCTAGTACAAGGGACTTTCAAGGTGAAACTAAAAGCCTCGAGGATAGCTGGGGATAGGCCACAATGCAAGTTCAACACTCAATTACTGAAGGACACAACCACAAAAGACACTTTCACTGCAACTGTCAGAGCAAAGCAGGAAACACTACGCGACATCACTGAAGAATCATGCGTGGAAGAACATTGGAAGTCTCTGAAGGCGATTCTCAACGAAACGTGTTCAACGGTTCTAGGAAGAAAGAAGAGACAAGACAAGGAATGGCTCTCAACGGACACTTGGAAATTAATAGAAGAGAGGAGAATGGTGAAAGAGAAAATGATTCAATGCAAGGACGGACAGGAGAAGGAGACGCTGAGCTCAACTTACAAGCACTGGACAAAGAAGTGAAGAAGAGTGCTAGGAAGGACAAAAGACGATTCTACGACAACCTGCACTGAAGCTGAGAAGGCAGCAGGCAAAAGGGACCTGAGGACACTATATCAGATAACCAAATCTCTATCCGGGAAGAGATCAACACAAGCGAAACCTATAAAAGACAGCCAAGGGAACCCAATTACCAAGGAAGAAAAACAGATTAAACAATGGGCGGATCACTTCAAAGGACTCTTGAACCGACCATCACCTGCAACCCGTCCAGAAATACCAACAACAGCGCGCACACAACTGCAAGTTGACACCAATCCTCCAACGAGAGCTGAAGTCTTGAACGCAATCAAGCTTCTGAAAGCTGGAAAAGCAGCCGGACCAGATGGAATACCCCCTGAAGCACTGAAAGCGGACCCAGAGACGACAGCAGACATGCTGACTCCATTATTGCAAAAGGTCTGGAAGGAGGGAAAGGTGCCTACTGACTGGAGGAAAGGTTACCTCGTGAAACTACCAAAGAAGGGCGACTTAGGCCTCACTCTGCAAGAACTGGCGAGGAATCATGCTCCTATCGACGCCAAGTAAAATCCTGAGTCGCATCATCCTGGAGAGATTAAAGGACGCACTGGAGACAGAACTCCGACCAGAACAAGCTGGATTCAGGAAAGGCAAATCATGTACTGACCAAATTGCAACTCTACGCATCATCATCACAGAACAAAGCATGGAATGGCAATCAAACCTCTACCTCAACTTTATAGACTTTGAGAAGGCCTTCGACAGCGTTGACCGTGAAGTAATTTGGAAATTACTCGAGTACTATGGCGTACCCCAAATATTCATCAACCTTATTCAACAGCTGTACGACAACGGCACATGTCAAGTGATCCACAACGGAAAACTCAGCGAGGCGTTTGGAGTAAACACAGGAGTCAGACAAGGGTGCTTATTATCACCAATGATATTCCTAATTGTGGTGGACTGGATTATGCGTCAGACAGTGGGAAACGAGAAGACAGGAATATCCTGGACCGACGTGAAGAACCTAGAAGACCTGGATTTCGCGCGTGGATGATTTATGTTTGATGTCACACAAATCGAAGACTTACAAGCGAAAACCGACAAACTGGTCGAAGAAGCAGCCGGCGAAGACAGGACTCCAGGTAAACATAGACAAGACGGAGGTTATGAAAATAACCAACCAACAACAGCAACAACATCCAACGTCAATCACCATCAACGGGAGGGATTTGAAAGAGGTTACTTCATTCACTTATCTAGGGAGCATTGTCTCAACTACAGGAGGAACGGACGAGGATGTCAAATCGAGCGAGAATCGGGAAGGCGAGAAACACATTCATCAACCTGAAATCAATCTGGAAATCTTCGTCACTCAGCATCAACAACAAAATTCGGATTTTCAATACAAACGTAAAGTCAGTCATTCTTCTATACGGATCAGAAACTTGGCGGGTGGGTCAAAGAATATTTCCAAAAGGCTGCAGACCTTTATTAACAACTGTCTTCGCTCTCTACTGAAGATCAGATGGCCGGAAAGAATCACCAACAAGGAATTATGGGAACAAACAAAACAAGAACCAATCGCCCAACAAATATGCAGGAGAAAGTGGAGATGGATCGGACACTGGCTGAGGAGGCCGCTTGGTGACATCGCGCGTCAGCCTCGAGTGGAACCCGAAAGGGAAGTGGCGTGTGGGACGACCAAGGGTGACATGGAGGAGATCGTGTGAAGAGGAGTTGAAAGAGTATGGACTAACATGGATGCAAGTGAAAAGTACAGCAAAAGACAAAAGCAAGTGGAGACGTGCAGTTTTAGCCCTATGTTCCACTACGAACCCAAGGGAACAATAACAATAATAATATAAGAATGATGATGTTTTTCAGCCTAATTTTCAATCTTTTGTATAATGCTTATAAATATTTCTAGGGACTGATTAGAAACAACCTGCTATTACATGCTTATGCATACAAACTGAGTTTCATATAAACATGTACTTTCATCTCTACACTTCATGCCGTCTGTGCAGTTCGACCTGACTAAAGAGTGAATTACATACTACCCTTTAGTTTCGAAGGTATTTTTTTAAATCTATACTCAACACGGTAACCGAAATTCCTGAAAGATGGAAATAGATCGTAAATGGCTTAGAAATAATAATTAATTATGATTAGAAAATTAGCTGCATAATATGTATAATAGGGCTTAATGAAGGGAATGAGAGAGGAAACAAATTGAAACATCTATTAGATTTTTGTTTGTAACTCACAGTAATGTGCATATATTGGTCCACCTGTGGAGTCCTCAAAAATAAACTTATCCGGTTTTTACTACTATGTAAGAAATGAACATATTGTACATTACTTTGTTTTAATCATAATCTCCGTACTTTGTACTTTACCTCGGGTTTTGAATAAAAAATATACTTCCGCCTCCGACTCTCCGTCTTCTCCACCATCCCAACTGCCATCGATCAATTCTAACCACCTGCATTCTATCTCAAATTTTCGCAGGAACACCGTAGTTTCTTCCTACGTACTTTGGTCGACGTTCGGCAACGTCAACAGTAGAGAATTGGTATTGGAGCAGTCTTCTCGTAGTACCTCTGGAGTCTATTACGTTTATTGTGAATTTCGGATCTTTGTAAACCCAAGTAACTAAACTTTAATATATTCTTCCCGTAACTAAACTGATTTGGTATTTTATATTCTATTTGAATTTGGGATACTACGCTAACAGATTAAAAGGTCCACCACACACCTGCTTCCGAGAAACTAGGCACATAGATCTTTCCATGAGCCTGCTTTCAAAATGTGTTAGAGAACAATACCTGGTATAACTGCAAAGAGGTGGCACTGGTTCAATCAGAAATGCTATAAATGAACACCTCACCAGCACCTGTCGGCACAACATCTGCTAAAGGTAGTGTGTTTCGAACATTTTTTGTACTGGAGAAGCCGTTGCCATAGGAATCGAGAATACGAAGTTGTGTTCATAAGGAACTAATCCAGCCAGTACAGTTTACCATGGATTAAGTTCTGTTTGGCTTCTTAGTTGTCGATTTTTCATTCCCTTCATTTATTTTCAACATCAGCTTTAAGACAGGAAAGGTATTATTTCAATTTGTTTCAATGCGGATCGATTTGACACCCGTTTTCGTTGAGAATTATTTTCAAGTTGAGGAGAATACCGATTAGGACACTGGGGAGAGTGAGCAAGAAGCTCAGCTTTCACATGTTACACAAGTGTTTTTCTCATCCTCTGTAATTTCATTTCTATGCCCACTGTGTGACCTGATTTTCTCTTAACACGCATGCGAACTTTCAAATCATGTGTTGTAAAGATTGTTAGAATGACGTCGCTGAAAAGACGTCTATGTTGAGCTACTTTTTCTTTAGTCTCTAATTTATTGGAGCGAAAATTGTGATAGTGAAGTGTGCTGAAAAAATAGTACTAATAAAAATCTATGATAAAATGCATATCAGTCAATAACTAATTTCATTTGCCATTTGGTCAGGAAGACACTGAGAAAACTATGATAGTGTACTGCGTAGTGTTTTATCTGTCAATCATATGACTATTGGTACTTATTAACAACCTTCGATATGCAGTAGTCAACGTTCAACCTTACAGTCGAAAGAAACAGAACTTCATTTTATCGTCCGAAGCAAACTAGCACTCAAATCCTGAATCAGGAGATTACACATAGATCTGTGTCATCTCTGACATAAAATGTTTTAACTTTTAAATCTCATAATTAGCCTTCTGTAAATATCTGTGGTGTCTGAGAAAAAAAATTGAACGGATTTAGTGAACATTCATACATGTATACTTACCACATAATCGCTGATAGGTCTGCTAATAAATAACTCAGCAGAGTATTCATATACTCCCCCAAATGCGACTTGTTCAGGGCATTTTATAAACTTGATTGCATCATTCTGTTGTGGACAGGTTCCAGATACCACTAAAGGGAGCGCCACGCTTATGTTTGTGTCCAGAATGGCTTCCAAACTGAATGTTAGACTAGTTCCAATTGTTAGAACTGCCATATCGAAAAACAGGCCGACTGTAAAACGTATCTTAAAGGTGAAATCACTTAAACTTGTGGCAGGAGATGACAGAATTCTGGTCCGGCCTAGGAGCATAGTGAATCTCGAAGGCTAAAGAGAAAATGAAAGGATTTATGCTATATTTTTAAAAATCTAGTAGTTTTGTGATGTGTGTTTAGGGTCTAGTGGCTTTCATTATCTCATATTACTTTTTCTACTAGTCAATCACACCTTCAGTCTGGGTACTTAGAATTTCAATGTGAAGAGGCAGTTGAACATGATAGAAACCACTAATAAGTACTGATCAGATCACAGAGCTCAACATATCAGCTTACAGCATCCTTTTTTCAGTGTCTTTTCTCATAAATGAAGAATCTTGTTTTATTCTGTGAATTTCAGGATTGCTGGTATATTCTTGGACCATTCATCTGTATAACTTAGTCCCTTGTACGTATGACAACAGTCTCGTCATCAGACTACATCAAGAAAATGGACAATACACTACCATATGAAGATAATGTTTACCAACCTTACAATGAAAGAAACAAAACTGAACTGATTGAGAAGCAGCTCACAGATATCTTGAAGAGAATGAAAGCCAGTCAACTAATCAGTTGCGATATCTATGACCAGATCCAGCCAACAGGTTCAATAATACCAAGACTTTATGATCCACCAAAGGTATACAAAGTTGGTCTCCCACCTCGTCCAATTCTGGATATGTCAGGTTCCCCACTACCATTCTACTTCAAAATGGCTGCCAGATATTCTTGAACCAGTAAGTTAACAATGAAAATGAATCAAAAACTCCATTCCTGGACGTAGAATCGACAAGAAGAGATGATGGAACTCTGAAAAGATCTATCCATAGAAAACCGATATGGAGTGGCCAACTGACAAACTTCTACAGTTGGATACCCATCAGCCGTAAAAGAGCTCTCACCATCTCGCTAGTCCACCGTACCAGAAGAATTTGCAGTCGTCGCTGTTTATAAAAAGAGCTCCTATTTCTCAAAAGCATCCTGGTTCAAAATAGACACTCACCTCATTTCGTGGGGAAGAACATGAAACCAAAGCCAAAAAGACAACAATGCACTTCATTGCCAAAGAAAACACTTCACTTTAATCTGGAATTCAGGGGAAACCTAGGAGCAAATGTCCTTAAAAGGAGAATCTCGAATTCCCTGAAGAAGACTTTTCCGGCAGCAACTCTCAGAGTGATATTCTCTAGACGCCCACTACTTCGGAGCAACGCGAAGGACAGACTTCCGCATATGACCACTTCAATGTGCATATATCATTTCACCTGCTCTTGCGGAGCTAGATACATAGGTCGTTCTATGCGGGTCTTATCAAAGCGTGCTGGAGAACATCATCCAGCATGGCTGCAAAGAGGAGGCACTGGTTCTATCAGAAGCACAATAACTAAACATGTCGTCAATACCTGTCTCAACTGACTCATCATTCAGAGTCATTTACAAAGTAAACAAAAATCTACCAAAGGCAGTGTGTTTCCGACTTCTTTGTATTGCGAAAGCTCTCGCCATATGCATCGATAAGCCTGAACTATGTATTCAAAAGAGACTGGTTGAGCCTTTACAACTACCGTGGACCTATCTTTCAGTTTTTTTTGTTTTGTCTTGTTTTGTTCTCTGTGTGTGTGTGTGTGTAATTTTCTCTCTTTGTCTTCATTCAATTCATCCTATTTTCCCAGTTATAAAATCAGTTATTTTAAGTTTGTTTCCATTCTCCTCCTGATCACACTTGTAATCCGTTTAGAATAACCATTTTACAATTATATTCTGATCCTGTGTAATTTTTTGTTTCTATGCCTCTTGTAATCTGTATTCACACCTAACTTACATTTTGAGTAGAAAATTATTATCTCCTTCGTTACTATGTGGAATTAAATAAATAATAATTGTATCCATGTAAACTAATGTATATAAATGCAATTGTACAGCTTTTGAGAATGAAATCGCCGAAAAGATATCTTCGCTGAACTTGTTGTTGTTCTTTTCCCTTTAACAATTATGCACACATTCGCTTCGTGAAACTTTCCAGTTCATTGACTGCATACAAGACCTGAATGTTTCTAACAAAGTTATGCTCTTGTTCGACATTGAGTCACTTTTCATCAACGTCCCACTTATGGAAACGGTATGATTTATATGTAAATATATAGATGAGAACCATCTCAACATTGGAGTATCAACAATATATTTGAAGGAATTACTACCAAGATGCACTCTGAACGTACAGTTCACTTTCAGCGACACTATTTATAGACAAAAAGATAGTACTGCAATGGGATATCCGTTGAGTCCACTACTATCAGATTGCTTCTTCGCAACCCCGAGAAAGGTTCACTAAAGCCGAGCATTGACCATTTACAACAGTATAAAAGATACGTAGATGGCATGTTTATTATTTAGGACAACAGTAATGACCCCAATCTAATGCTGCAGAGATTTTACTGTTGCCGTCCAGCAATAAAATTCACTCTTGAAATGGAAAACGAGTCAAAAATTCCGTTTCTTGATATGGAACTAACAAGAAGAGCTGAAGGGAACCTAAGAAGATCAATCCATAGAAAACCTACGGGGAATGGTCAACTAACAAGCTTCTATAGCTGGTTACCCACGAAACAAAAGCGGAATTTAATTAAATCACTAGCCACGCGCATCTGACGCATCTGTAGTCCCGATGTTCTGCAAACAGAATTAGATATTCTGAGAAAAATCTTCATCCAAAATGGATACCCACCAAAATTCATTGACAAAAATATCAAACCAAGAATTCGGAGAAATGAAACTTCACTTGCACCGAAAAAGAAACTCTACATGAACTTGGATTTCAAGGGAGATTTAACAAGCGATATTCTTAAGAGAAGGATCACATAATGTCTGAGAACAACATTCTTTGCAGCAACGCTGAGAATAGTGTTCTGCAGTCGCCCACTGATCTTCTGAAGTCTTAAGGACTTTACACCGCATCTGTCCACTTCTACATGCATATATCAGTTCACTTGCGATAGTGGAGCCATGTACATCGTTTTTTCGACGCGCTTCCTGTCCAAGACGATTCAAGAACACTATCTGGCATGGTTGCGAAAATGCATCAGTGGCTTTATAAGGAGTACGATAATTGAACACCTGGTTAACACTGATCACTCCTTCTTCAAAGAAGTCTACAGAGTCAAGAATAACCTACCAAAGGCAATGCTGTTGCTTCTTCGTGTTGCTGAAGGTTTGGAGATTCACACAGAAAAACTGGAGCTGTGCATATAAAAGAGAATTACTCAACCACTTATATTATCATGGTAAAAGCTTTGTTGATTTTTGATGACTTAAATTTGTTCGTCTGCCTGTTTCTCTTATTGCTTATAATTCTTGTATTCATTTAGAACTCTCACGTAATTTCCTATTTTCTACTTTGTTTCTACGTGCATCTTGAGTACAACTCAATCGTCAAACTATTCATCTTATTATGTAACTCCTTGTTAACAACTGTTTGTGACAACACATCACTTTTGTTACCACTCTAGTGTCATTAACACCCAATTTTCTTAGCCGTTTTTTTATTACGCAACCCCACCGAAAAATTACTAATTCTCACCTCTCCCTTAGTTAAAATAACCATAATTATCTATAGTTGGTTTATAAGAATTAGTTTTGATTTTTCGATTTGATCCCGGATTGATATCAGTTAGAGATCCATTGAAAACCAGGTAGTACTGGACAGCTGTTTCATCCTAGTTTGAGAATCACCGGCAACACTCACCCACTGCCAAGGTTCGAACGCAAGACCTTCCGATGTCCAGACAAGCTTGTATACCATTCAGCCACTGAGACCCGATTCAATGGCCAGCCCATGAATCCTAACTTCTAACAGTTCGTGATTTAGCACGACCACCATAACCAACTGTATTTTTGTTCGACAGAATTAATGTACACATACATACAACATAAAGATATATATATATTTGCGATCGTACAGGTAAGTGTGGATGAATTCCCCTAAAATATACTCTTCACCGAACAATGTGTTTTGTCTTCATCAATGCGTGGATGAGGATTATTCATGAATATAAATAATCATTACACGATAAGCGCTTACTACAGGTATAACAAGAAGGCTCACATATTCATATTTCATGCGTACATGAAATAGTATCGAGATTATGCAGCTCATAGTCACTCTAATGCACAGCAAGCATTCTTTTAATTTTACATCGTCACAACTTAAAAATTCACTTTCACATCATTCTGACTGCTTTTATACACTGGAATATTTTAAAGAATGCCTTGAAACTAGTCAGAGCATTTTTCTTTTCTCTCGAATTTATAAATGTGTAGTTTGCGGAGCAAGTTATTGAAAGCAGTTGTTCACTTTAATCACCCCTTTTTAAACAGTTCTGTGAATAGAGATGTCTGAGTGATCGCACCACGGGTCGTCTTCATATATGCCAAAAAGGTGTAGACAAATGATTTCTCTCTGAGTGGATAGTAGAAATATCCAGATGTATCATCTAAGGAGAAAGTTGTCAGGTAGAATATTTACTGACAGAATCGAGCATTTCGGTCCAGCGAAATCAACTAATAGGAATTTTAAAAAGTTGAATAAAGCTACCGATCTCCTTTGTAGAAGAGATGCGTCTAGCAGATTAATAGCTCGCTGTATTACACTTTGTCTTTTAAAACGATATTTGTTTCGATCCCAGTCTCAATGGAACACCAACAGTCAATGAGATGCATCTGATGTGTTGCAAATAGGATGAAACACGAATTTGCATTCAACTGACAGTGATCATTCAACAAAGAACAGGGATAAATGTCGTTTGGTGGACTGTTTTCCTTCAAGTTGAGTTGGTAGGCTTAAGAAACCAAAAGTACGGTACAGTAGGACAAATACAGTCACATTTATTAATTACCATTTATGTACTTACGGATGAACGACCACCAATATATGTAAGGTTACTAAACTGCACTGTAGAGTTGTTCACTACATTTACACCACTGAAATTACTGAACAAATATTCAATATATCCCCTATACGATCCACTGATAGCAGGTCCATAAACATTGATAATTGGAGTGTGATTTCCAGGCGGTAAGGTGATATCCAAGTCAACAAACCAGGTGTCGTAGAGACAATAATTAGAGTCCTTCAGAGTGTTTGATCTGTAAAATTTGATACTACCTACAGTTGGAGGTGTTATAATAGCCTGAAAAAGAAAATAAAATTCACATATTTCACAAGCACATAGTGTGGAAGTGATACTTTGATTATTTGCTACTTGTCACTCATTTCCAGCTTGAAAAATACATTTCACCCATTTCAACTCGACTTTCTTTTAACTGACTACCAACAATTTTTATTCTCCAATAATGAACAGAAATCCAACTGTCTTTTAAAAGATGTTGAACCTGAGACTAATGACATGGGCTCAGATAAATATAAATATCTGTGTTAATCAGGAGATTTGGGTTTATAGAAGTTTTCGGGTGTAGCGGTATTCCCATCCAGTAATCTGACCTCATATTTTAAACAATCGCATACTGTTCACATGAAAAATAGAATCAGTCTAACACAAAAGTAAAACGTAATTAGTACATTGAGTGAGTTTGACTTAAAAAGGTACCCATATATTCAAGTTCTGTAAGATGTTTGGTTAATTGCGTCTGAAGTTAGACGACGTAATCATATACTTAATTCATTCATAAAATTAAAAGATTGTGAATAGTTTCATTTGGAAAATGATGGAACGAATGATATTGAATGTGATCTTAGACATTCAAATCTTTTATGTTACTGATCTCGCTAACTAAGGTAATCATTTACTGTTACCACATCCACCTTAATATTCTCCACAATGACACTTCTGTTAAAGCTTCTTGTGCGAGTTGTTCACATTTGGCCTTCCACTCTCTCCCATCGTAACATTTGAATGTTACACACAAAAATGCAAAACTAAACAATGAATTGAAATTACAGATTAAGAAATTCACTCTCGTAATAATTTGCATTTCATTGCTTATACAGATCTCAATTTTTGCTCCGGTATTTAAAGCTAGTTGCCCTAATTTATTCTTTTTTTTTTTACTGATATATACAAAGCTCTTTATCATGATTAGAAGTCGTAAAATAGAACTGTCCGTTTTTCACTTCAGATTAACTTTTTCTCTCTTTGTTAATATTTGGTTTCAACATTCTTACTGGTGTTGTGTTTTATCTGAATATCCAGTCACACAGCGCTGTTCCTCGTCAGATCTTATACATCTGTTCGGCTTTACTGTTTGACTTGATGAGTGAATAAAGTGAGAAATACGTTTTGTTTCTTAGAATACCTAGTCCAACGTTTCTACAATCAGTATATTCGTAAATAGTGATGTTACCTCCATGGATAATATAAGTTTATTACCAATGTTAATCTCAGATATTTAAAGAGATAATGTCAAAGACATCACTAATTCTATATCGCACAATTTTTTTGTGCAAAGTTCCCTGAGTCCTTACTAACTACTTAAGCGTTCCGTGATATGGTCAGGTATGTTTATCTAAAACTGAATATTCTTTGCAACAATCGTATGTTTGCCATTCTCTAAACGACGAATGATTGGGACTCGAAGAAAAGATAAGCTAGATAGTTTTGTCACATCTACGTGTATTCATCAGTTCAACTGCTCTTGAAGAGACAGTTATGTTGAGCATACAACTAGACAGCTTATCCAACTTGTTACTAAACATCTCTCATCGTGGTTTCGCAAGGCACAGTCAAAAACCATCCTCAGATCCGTTTTGTCACGTTTAGTTAATAGGGATTACTCAGGGTAGGAAACGAAAGCATACAAGGTGGTTCATCGCATCCCACTGAATCTTTCATATGGACTACATGCTGATAAGGCGACATGCATTTGAAATGTTCAGCTTGAACTATACTTCCAGAATAAGTTCGTACACTCACTATCTCTGCCTTGGCTAATTAATACCCCACGCTTTACTTAGATTTTCAATCCCACTCTTATGATACGTTAATCTTACCACATCTTCATGATGACATGGCTTAATTACTTCCCTTGAAATCAAGCATTACTTAATTGGACCTTCGATTTTTCTTTACCTTTAACGACTACTACGTCTACCTGAACATTTGTTTATTTAATTATGCTCTTTATTTATTATTCTTCTCATCATAAATCGCTGAAGTTTTCTTTTTTTATTGACGGAATTATTATTACCATTACTATTATTACTATTATGACTAACTGCACAATTTATATACACAATCTTATTATCCTATTGACAAAACACCGTGATTAGATTATATTTGAACTTGTATATATAAAGTTATGTATATTAGAGTTAAGACTGATGAAATCTAGTTGAAAAGATTACATTTTTTATCAATTTTGGTTCACTTCCAGAGCATCAAGATGCATGCTAGTCATAAAATATGTCCACAAATAGACTATTTAGACGTCAATTATCCCGTCTGTATTCGCAAACGTAAATCAACTGAACTGGTGTCTATTCGAAAGAGCTCGAACAGGGGCATTCTCTTGTTTATCTGAAAACGTAACAATTAAGCTTGCTTAGTGAATTGATACTGTTGTGAAGTATACTCATTTAGGTGAAAAATCTTAACTCCCTAGCGACCTGCAGTAATCACACATCATTACTGGTCTCCTTGTTTTGCCTTTGTGAGTGGGAGTTGGTGACAGGTTTCGGCAGTGTATGCTAGTATACCTGTATATAGCACTGATTATCTATCGATTCATCAATGTCTATGTAGAATAAGTTCCTGCTATGATAACTCAGTGATTCATCATAAGAATAAGTTTAGAGATATAGGTGGTCCCTACTAAGTATCTCAGAGCAATGCGTTTCTGCTTAGAATACTTTGATGAGTAAAACTTGAACATGAGGTGTGTACAATCCTTCATTAAGAGGGAGAAAGAAAGAGTTCAACATTAAAAACGTACCCTCTTAACGCGAGAAACTCTCCTTTCTACATCTTCATCAGAATGACTATTGTAAACTGAAATTCTGACAACTGCCTGATCAAGTACTCCTAAATGGTTGTTGTCCTCTCGAATAGTCACATTAAATTCAACTGTACGATAAATTTCTGTTTTTTCAAATAAATTGTCGGAGTACAAAACACCACTCTTGGAGTCAATATATATAGGCAGTTGGCTTGCATTAGACACGATTTCGAAGTGAACATTTCCACATGTTGCTATAGAAGAGTTCTCATCACTTAGTGGTAGACGGCCAATAACACCTCCATCAATTATATCTGAGAGCTTCTTTTCGAATGTGAATTGCCTCTCAACGAATGTAGGCTTTCTAGATACTAAAGTGACAAAAGAATATTTCTGTAAATTAGGAATACCACAGTGAAAGCTGAAAAAGCAGAACGATAAATACATTGAAGATGGCATGGAGGTTAACTCGAATAAGATGCCTTCTCGTATATTGAAGAAAGAAGCAACACAGCCTAAGCATATATTGGTTTAAATATGAAGCATACACTTCCATATTTCAAATTTTATTTTTACAAAACATTTTTACGAAATAGCTCTATTTAACAGGTGTTTATTTGCTCCTGTTATTTTCATAATCAAAGGGGTAAATGATTTCTGAATTTATTCAATGGTCACGAGAACTGAATGTCTCTGAGTGAAATGCTTTCAATGCCAGGAAACTAAGCTGGCTGAGTCAAACATAATTGTCGAGAATGCTCATCACAGTGAGTTGTTTTCACTTTGCATATGATTCCTCATTCAGCCGAATTATCTCCTAAAGTTCCCCTTCAAATTTACCTTTAAACAAGCGGCTAGTAACCTTCAGTGAAGTCACCGTCAACACTTAGTTGAATGACATTATCACAGTGGTTCATTACTATCAAGTGTTCAGTACAAAATAAAGTCATTGACAGGTTCAACACATTGTGAAGATGGTATTTACAACCTGTGACGCCATGAGTAACCTTTTGTGTCACTAAAATAAGGCACAAATATTCTTCACTGAATTCTGGTGACATTAGTAGATTACTGCATATATTTTCTTTTCAGTCCCATCGAGATTTCCTCAAGGCTGTAATGAATTACAGATAGACAATACGACGAGGTTGCAGTCGGTTAGGTTACCTACCACACTTCTTCAGCCTTATTAGTTTTGCAAAATTAATTCTCAGCAAAAAGCAGCTTTCAATCTTGAAAACATCATAGAGATTGTCAAGCTAGACTGAGTATTATTAAAATAACCCAGTCTATTCTAGATTAAATATGAAACATAAAATGATATTACAGTTACAAACACAGATGGATCATACTTGACGACTATCAGGAGCGAACTCATTACACTGATCACCTCCCCCCCTCATAATGTAATCCCTAAAGCCTTCCACAAACGAAACTCAAATAGGTTTCAGATTAGAGCGTTCTTTTCATTATGCCCTCAGAAAACGATTTGTTCTTAAATAACTACAACCTAATAAGTCTTTGAACACTAATATGCATAAATTCTAAGTATCATCGTTCGACCCAAAAAATGAAGTAAATCAAATTACTAACTTACATTTATCTCCGCAGTTTTCACCTGTCCAACATGTTTCACATACACATACACCATTAATACACTGCCCGTGAATACAATTCCTAGAAAGAAATATCGATTATATTGCTTATTCTTTAACCATGTGTCATTTTTCATGCAAGGCTAAAGCTATTACTCAGTCACTGAATCTTACGCTGACAACAGATAAAACCTCAAAGTGACACATCTCTCTCCCATTACACCACATAAAATAAGAACTCAATCACTAGACGAAATAATTCCATAATTCTGCATTGCTAGATTGTCAACGTTAATTACTCTTTAAATCTCACTTTTATGAAAGGAAACACATAGTTTACACTTTTGTGAGAATTTACACCTAATTTCTCAAAATACAAAGAACAGGATGAGCTGAGTCTATGCCGATTACCTCAACACGTCTGAATTGAGTATAATGTGCGCCAAAGGATGGCAGTTATTGTCTTTACTAGACACTCTCCTAGAAATTGCAGCTTACTCTACTTTTCCGTGCAGACTCGCAAATGATGGCTAAAGACACTAAGGATATATCTAAGAATCTTTTGCAGCCATAATTGTTGGTAAGTTCTCACTGGCAAATACGCGTTAGGATAAATAGCTTGGCGTTATTTCATACTGTCATATTAGCAACTAGTGGTAAACTCATCATTCGCAGAGTGTTAACAGAAGACGGAAATTACCTGGAAAGTGATATGATCTATTTCCACAACACATTTCAAACAATCTGACCCCTCAGACATTTTTTCCAGTCAAGTCGATGTATACGAAAAATGAAGGCCGATTAAAATACACAAAGTAATAAAAATGGCTTCAGAATAATAAAACTAATTAACACCATGGTTGGTTATCTAATCAGATAAGGATTACAAAGGTAGGTTGGGTGTGGTAAAAAAGTTATTTTTGTACCCTGGTTATCCTTATCTGATTACATAACCAGACATGGTGTTAATTATTCTCATTATTCTGAAGCCGTTTTTATTACTTTGTGTATTTTAATAATCGACTTTTATTATTCATATAAATTAACTTGACAGGTGAATGTGTGAGGGATCAGATTGTTTGAAATGTATTGCCCAAATACACCACAAATATCACATCACTTTTCAGGTAATCTCCTTATTCTAATAACACTATTCAAATTTATAAAAGGGACTAACTGTTTTAAAGCTCATCATTATTCAGTTTTTAAAGGGATTGTTACCCCTTCAGAAAAATGAATATTATTCAGCTAGTCGGTTCACTGAGTTATAGTCAATTATAACAGTCTCCTTCATTGGTATGAATAATGAATTCCAGTGAAGACGAGATATGTGCAGTGCACGTTTACTTGGAAAAAGGACAGTAGTTACAAACACTGACATTTGAAAAATCATTATATGCCTGCAAATTATGAATAACTGTACCAAATGGTGGGGGATACTGTTAGGAAAAACAGCCAGTGAAACAGAGGTAGAAAGAGAGATTTGAAAGATGTAATCTAAAAGGTATAATCATACATAAACACAATACTCCTACTAGCAACATAAAACTTCTTGTATGTGAAAACATTCCTGAAATCATTCCAGACTCACCCCGAATTGATTTCGCATTTCTCCACTGACTGTCCAGATATACTCAGAACTAATAATGAACAACAAAAGTTCATGTGTGATTTCATTGATAACTCGATAACTTACTCATAGAAGTGGTAAGCAGAATAACTCTCAGGTATTTCAAGTGTGACTGCATTTTCATAATGTACACTGAAGAAAAATGAAAGTGTATAAAATAATTTTGTGTTTATTTCTCTATTTTTATCCGGCCGTCTTATTTTGTGCACTTATATAATATTTTCAGTTAACCTGACCTGGTAGTTATGGTAGGAACACGTATTGGTGATCCAATCAAATTTAAGCAGATATTTTATTAACATCATTCATTGTTCACTAGGCAACTAGGCTGTTCTCAAGTAGAACTACATAAGTGAAAATTTACACTGAACAGGCCGCATAACTGTATGAAATTTTCAGTTATCCTGTAACAGTTGCTTCGTTGACGTAAGTTGAATGTGTTATATCATGCATCGAAAGTAAGTGTAAACATCCATCGAGGTGTTTAAAATGAGACTGAACAAGGAGAATTTCATGTGTTCAAAAAATATCTCTCACACTGATGATATAAAATAGGTTTGAGTGGAGATCTATTTTAAATAGAGATTTTCTGTACTTGAGAAGCAGTACATTTTCAAGCGAAGGTACAATCTATTTCAAGACTCTTCGCTATGAATACACATCTTTACATACTTCCACAGATAACTGTTTAGATTCTAACATCATCAAAATGTAATGTATTCTATCTTTTACAATGCCTAGTAATCTGTAGTATTTCCTAGTCTATTTCACACTTTCTATTCATATGTGGAGTCTAGAACAGTATGATTGTACAGTATTTTTGTTAGATTTTAAAAATGGTAACATCGTGTACATAACTTTTGTTTGAGATGATTCAGTGTAAAAATACATAATTTAGGAGTACAATCTAAAATACAGTGGACTGCTGGAAGCTTCGTCTTCTCACTGGTGCATACTGTCTACTTGCTTCACTACTAACCGTGTTGTATCCTTTGGGTTTTGCAGGAACCTCTCATTATCATCCAAAGGCTATTCCACAGCCGGTACACAGCTTCTACTAGTAGACACGATTCCAGCAGCGAAGGCTTCTGTGGATTAAACTAATAATTTGTAGCAGCGGACGTTGACTGTATCACCAAGTAATTTCTATAACTCATTAACTGTATTTTTATGATATACCGTTACAATATAATTTCATAAACGTGGATTTTTCTTGTGATATTTTGTACCGTTATCGAGCTCACCATTGAGTCCCCTACACATCTTTCGAAGATTAATCATGGTACGAATCGGTGCCTAGGTGCTGCTTATTGAAATTCCATCCATCCATACATTGCAACACACATTTGTTTCACATCTATGAAATACGTTCGATTTCCTCTCAAGATAGAAAAAGTAGATCACAAATTTCATGCAATCTGCATGGTGTATTGAGAAAGAACTCTTGTAAATAATAAGCAAGTCACAAGAAACGTAGTCATAAATTCGATAGGAATGTTCAGGTGTTGCTATGATATTCAACATGTGTACCCCACTCGGTAAAGTAAACAGTGCGTGAACATCTCTCCAAATAGCAGTTCATCCTGGAGTGACTAGTTGACTCAACGAAGGCCCGACAGTTCGGGAAATTTCCATCACTTGCTTTTATATTGCCCTAGTCATATCTTCATCTCAACCGTCAGATTCAAATCGTAAATGTTCATCTAAAGTTGAGTTGATTTAGTATGACCACTTACCTGTATTTATTTTAACTACACCAAAACTGGTGTGTGGTAGGAGTATCATGCTTTTCCCATTCACTGGATTTTTGTGATGGCGTCGGACAACTTTTGGCTTGGATTTTGCCTTGGCCGTGAATAGTTGAGAAGAACGAACGAAATATCAGTGTCACATTAGGCTGCTGTAACTTTTCTTCTTGCTGGTTTCAAGTTTTCAAAAACACAAAATGCATCTAACCTATGAAGAAATACACAGCAGTCACCTAGAATGAAGTTGAAATTACAGGTAATTCATTTACAAACCTTAAAACTACAAATTAATGAGAACATTAAGGAAGTCTCTCTTACTAGGCAAAGTTTCTCATATAATCAATGGATTGCCAATCTCCACGTCAATTTCCTCAGCAGCACTTAGCTCTCTGGACGTTTCTATCATACTTTTCATTAGCTGGATGTAATTCACTGACGAGCTATTAACGGTGAATGCAGTAACACAAAAGTTCCAGGTTGAAGACACTGAGCATGTGGGAAAGTAGGAAGTGATTTTGTTGTGCACATCCCTGTTAATTTTAGTACCGTAGCATGTTGTTATGGTGGTTTAATGACAAATCATACTTTTTGTACGCTTTTAAATTGAAACTTTGCACTGACATTTTTTCCCAGTCGTGCATATTATCCGTGGTATTATATTCTTGAACAACGTTACATTTGCTGCACTTTTATCAAGAAATGTTTTCTGACACTGATATCTACTCAATGTAATGCGTTAAATTAAGCAGTAAGTTCAAAAGTTAAACGTAGATTTTATAGATTTTTATGTAATCATGCTGGGATTTTTTGAACTATTTATTGAAACGCCTAAATAGTCACCAGAAAAAGAAGGTGACGCCACTTCATAACAGGAATATGCCATTTAATCACCCAAAGTGAGAGGTAGTATGACCCCCTAAAGAGTTATAAGGAGAGCATATTCAAGGACACATCAAATATAGAAATGTGGCAGTGGCGTTTTTCAAATGAGATTAATCTCTGATGTGCAGTATACTTACATTCAAAAACCTGAACACAATTCTGAATGAAGAAAAGCTGTAGAACAAAATGCTTCAGTTGTTTTACAGAAATATTCAAGATTTAGGTACGGGTGTTGAATTATCGCATGTCATATTTCACGTCAAAAGAACAAGCTTATACATGTACAAGAAAGAAAATGTATTTTTCAATCAAATTTCACACCTTCAGTGTCGAATGGACATTTTTGAATTTGCTGATAGGATCTCTGTGAGGAAAATGTACTATAAATGGTTATTTCCTCATCAAGTAATTTCGTGTATAAATGTTTTGAGTACAGAAACAGGTGAGACAATTCTTCAGCATACTGTAAGCCTGTTACTAGGGCTTATTTTTACATTGGAAAATGAACAAACTATTGGTGATTAGGCTAAAGTTGATACCGGAAAAGTGGCGAGGAGACATTTTATTAATGTTTATCATTAAATGATATTGTGTCCACAGTAAATTGTGGTATAGTCATTCTGATAACCCTTCAGTGTAAAAGCTGCTGTCAACTTCAGTAGGCTTTTGGAATTCCTTTCGTGAATTAATTCTAAAGAAAACTTCGAAAAAAAAGGATACGAACGGTGATTATAATGTTACTATTCCCTTGTCTTCCTAGTGGAACATAGGACTTCAACAACACATCTCCAATTTGTTCTATTTGTTTCTGTCCTATTCAGCTGGGTCCGCCATTGACCATAATCTCATCTCATCTTCGCACGATCGCCTTCATGTCACCCTTGCACCAACAACCCACTGGTTGCTTCCCATTGATATTCCATTCGATTGATGGCATGCATTGTGTGCAATGTCATTCGACAGTCTCGTCAGTGTATATGAGCAACCGATTCTTGGTTGGTTTTTTCCCGGACAGATTTTCTTGTTGCTAATTCTTTCTGGCCGGCTAGACGGCTGGCTGGCTGGCTGGCTATTCGATCTTCAGTATGGAGCCAGCCAGCCAAGGAGGCAGATGTTAATAGAAGTCTGTAACTTGTTGGAAATCCATTTTGTGACACTCAGTGCAAGTTTCTGACGCACAAAGAAGATGCGCTAACTAACTTCATATTTGTGCTGAACAGAATCCGAATCTTGTTGTTTATGCTGAGGCGGAGTGCGAGAGATTTCCGAACTGGTTTTAGATTGATGAAGGCGTATGTAACCTCTCCAATTCTGGCCGGCTGGCTATGACGTCTTCATCCGTTCCGACCTCCTGTGGTTGAAACGATGTTGCCTAGATAAGTAAAGGAAGTGACCTCTTTCAAACTAATTCCTTCGATGGTGATTGGTGCTGGTTGTTGTGGTTGTTGCTGTAGGTTGGTTGGTTGGTTACCTTCATCTTCTCCGTCTTCGTCTTCTCCATTCATCTATGATACATCAATATAATTTGGGCATTATGTATGGTAGAGTATAATTCCATAATAGAATAGCTTTATTCAACAGTATTCACTGTGACACGACGTTATTTGCCCACAATACAGTTTATTCATCATTATCATACGAGGTTATTCATATGACTTTCATATTTAGGTTTTGATAAATCCATTATTTTTTCGATTTTACCACAAATTAACTATTTCATATCTTTGGTATTTTGTGTGGCCCAATCTCATGGAAAGTGTTTTTTGTAGATTCGATGAACGAAGATTCAGTGACCAACCTATTTTTCTGCACGTAATTACATTTCTTTTTGAAGTTTTGGTTCTGTCTCATCCTACTATATGAATGTTTGTTCGTGCATGAATTGCTAATGATAAGTTTTTCTATCAGTTAGCCATCTTCTTCGGACATCCGAAACACTATGCACAATTCCAAATAAAGTAAGAATCAGGTTAGTATTCACACCTGCAAGCTGTCATCCAAAGACAAGCTCTATGTGCTACATAGTCATATTAGACAAGGTAACTCAGTCTTCAAGTGTTGGTCTACAAGTATCTGACTGATTTCAAGTGTGATGACGAACTGTTCGCTCACTGAAGAAAACAAATCCGTCATTTGCGATCCATGCAAGAACACACTAGCACACAATAGGATGAGACAAAAGCACAGGTCAATCATTAAATCTTTATTCATCGAATCTACCGAAAACACTTGCAGTGAGAATGATACAACACAAATACTGAAGATGTGGAAAGTTTAATTCGTGGTAAAATCAAAAGATAGGGAATAATGGACTTAGGAAAACGGGATGTGAAAGCTATATGAGCACCCTCATATGATATTGATGAATAGATTGATTTCAAAACATCAACGCTAAATGACACTGTATCAGTGTTTGCTTTCTCAAATAAAGTTATTTTCTAAAAGACAGTATTTATTCTTTCATTGATAAAATTCTACAACGAATACAGGTAAA